GCTTATCCCCCAATGACGGTTGGGTTTAGGGGTGGGGTTGAGTGCCAGGCCTCCTTTTAAAAACCATACATTTTTGTACGTCTTTACCAACGATATCTCACAGCAATTCGTAACTTTTTTGATTTAGTGGCTAATTCGTATGAAATCGTACAATCTTATTGGTACAAATTTGTATGATTTGCTTATCCCCATTGACAGTTGGGTTTGGGGGTGAGTTTGGGTGCCATGCCTAATTTTAAAACCATACATTTTCTAATGTCTTTACTAACGATATCTCACAGCAATTCGAAACGTTTTAAATTAGTGGCTAATTCGTATGAAATCGTACAATCTCATTGGTACAATTTAGTATGATTTGCTTATCCCCCAATGATGGTTGGGTTTGGGGGTGGGGGTAGAGTTGGGTGCCATGCCTCCTTTTAAAAACCATACATTTTTGTACGTCTTTACCAACGTTATCTCACACAATTTGTAATGTTTTGATTTAGTAGCTAATTTGTATGAAAGCGTTCAATGTCATTGGTACAATTTAGTATGATTTGGGGGTGGGGTGGTTGCCAAGTCTCCTTTTAAAAATACTGACATTTTTGTACGTCTTTACCAATGCTGGCAATCCGTAACTTTTTTGATTTAGTGGCTAATTCGTATGAAATTGTACGATCTCATTGGTACAATTTAGTATGATTTGCTCATCCCCCAATGATGGTAGTGTTTAGCGGTGTGGTTGGGTGCCATGCCTCCTTTTAAAAATCATACATTTTCATATGTCTTTACCAACGCTATCTCACAACAATTCATAACTGTTTGATATAGTGGCTAATTTGTGTGAAATCGTACAATCTTAATGATTTGCTTATCCCCCAATGGCGGTTGTGTTTGGGGGTGGGGTTGAGTGCCAGGCCTCCTTTTAAAAACCATACATTTTTGTACGTCTTTACCAACGATATCTCACAGCAATTCGTAACTTTTTTAATTTAGTGGCTAATTCGTATGAAATCGTACAATCTTATTGGTACAAATTTGTATGATTTGCTTATCCCCATTGACAGTTGGGTTTGGGGGTGGGGTTGGGTGCCATGCCTCCTTTTAAAAATCATACATTTTCATACGTCTTTATCAACGCTATCTCACAACAATTCATAACTGTTTGATATAGTGGCTAATTTGTATGAAATCGTACAATCTTAATGATTTGCTTATCCCCCAATGGCGTTTGTGTTTGGGGGTGGGGTTGGCTGCCATGACTAATTTTAAAACCATACATTTTCTAATGTCTTTACCAACGATATCTCACAGCAATTTGTAATGCTTTGATTTAGTGGTATGATTTGCTCATCCCCCAATGGCGGTTGTGTTTAAGGGTTGGGGTTGGGTGACATGCCTCCTTTTGTAAATCACACATTTTCGTACGTCTTTACCAATGCTATCTCACAGCAATTAGAAACATTTTGATTTAGTGGCTAATTCATATTAAATCGTACGATCTCAATGGTACAATTTAGGATGATTTGCTCATGCCAAAATGATAGTTGTGTCTAGGGGTCAGGTTGGGTACCATGCCTCCTTTTAAAAAAATAAACATTTTCATACATCTTTACCAATGCTATCTCACGGCAATTCGTAACTTTTTTAATTTAGTGGCTAATTTGTATGAAATTGTACCATCTTATTGGTCTGATTTGCTCATCCCCCAATGACGGTTGTGTTTGGGGGTGGGGTTGGGTGACACGCCTCCTTTTAAAAATTATAAATTTTCATGCATCTTTACCACATCAATTTGAAACTTTTTGATTTAGTGGCAAATTTGTATGAAATCGTATGATCTCGTTGTTCAGCTTTTGCTCAATGAGTTCAAAATATTTGTTTACATTTTTTCGTATTCGGAAATGAAAATCAGGTTGATGTCAGAACCCAATGTCAGGTCGACGTCAATGTCCAAAATCAGACAAACATCCCATTTTGGTTACTTTTCAACGCCACCTAAAAACAAAAAAAAAAAAATCAACATCAAATAATGTTGCGTCTCTTCACTCCCATTCATGAATTCTCTCGCAGTGCATCATGGGATAGCGTAGGGTCCTTCGGATGCACACTTCATCTTGCCAGAAGTACAGTAGTAGGTACATTTCGCATACTGTTTTTCGAATTCTATGAAGTTAAACATACTACTCAGCTCGCATACTGTTTTTAGTATACTATATAGTATGGAAGTATGCAATTTCGGACGCAGCCCATAACCTAAATAGCCAGGTCCGTAACGTTTTACGTTAGCAAGTGTGTTTGCAGTAGTATTTTTTAAATTTGTTTGCATTATGAGAACTTGCAGCATGTTTTCTTAACAAGTTTGCATTGTAAGAATTTGCAGCTCGTTTTCTTAATTTGTTTGCATTGAGAGAATTTGCAGCACGTTTTAAAAATTTTTGATTGCATTGTGAGAATTTGCAGCACGTTTTCTTAATTTGTTTGCGTTATGAGAATTTGCAGCACTTTTTTAAAATTTTGATTGCATTGTGAGAATTTGCAGCACTTTAAAAAAAAAATTTGATTGAATTGTGAGAATTTGCCACACTTTTTAAAATTTTTTGATTGCATTGAGTTAATTTGCAGCACATTTTCTTATTTTGTTTGCGTTATGAGAATTTGCAGCACTTTTTTAAAATTTTGATTGCATTGTGAGAATTTGCGGCACGTTTTCTTAATTTGTTTACGTTATGAGAATTTGCAGCACTTTTAAAACAATTTTTTATTGCATTGTGAGAATTTGCAGCACGTTTTCTTAATTTGTTTGCGTTATGAGAATTTGCCACACTTTTTTAAAATTTTGTTTGCATTGTGAGAATTTGCAGCACGTTTTCTTAATTTGTTTGCGTTATGAGAATTTGCAGCACTTTTAAAAATTTTTTTTATTGCATTGTGAGAATTTGCAGCACGTTTTCTTAATTTGTTTGCGTTATGAGAATTTGCCACACTTTTTTTAAAATTTTGATTGCATTGTGAGAATTTGCAGCACGTTTTCTTAATTTGTTTGCGTTATGAGAATTTGCAGCACTTTAAAAAATTTTTTGATTGCATTATGAGAATTTGCAGCATGTTTTCTTAATTTGTTTGCGTTATGAGAATTTGCCGCCCTTTTTATTTTTATTTTGTTTGCATTGTGAGAATTTGCAGCACGTTTTCTTAATTTGTTTGCGTTATGAGAATTTGCCACACTTTTTTTAAAATTTTGATTGCATTGTGAGAATTTGCAGCACGTTTTCTTAATTTGTTTGTGTTATGAGAATTTGCAGCACTTTTTTTTATTTTGTTTGCATTGTGAGAATTTGCAGCACGTTTTCTTAATTTGTTTGTGTTATGAGAATTTGCAGCACTTTTTTTTATTTTGATTGCATTATGAGAATTTGCAGCATGTTTTCTTAATTTGTTTGCGTTATGAGAATTTGCCGCCCTTTTTATTTTTATTTTGTTTGCATTGTGAGAATTTGCAGCACGTTTTCTTAATTTGTTTGCGTTATGAGAGTTTGCAGCACTTTTTTTTTACATTTTGATTGCATTGTGAGAATTTGCAGCACTTTTAAAAAATTTTTTGATTGCATTGAGATAATTTGCAGCACGTTTTCTTATCTTGTTTGCGTTATGAGAATTTGTAGCAGTTTATAAAAAAAAATTGATTGCATTGTGAGAATTTTTAGCACGTTTTTAAAAATTTAATTTGCATTGTGAGAATTTGCAGCACGTTTTCTTAATTTGTTTGCGTTATGAGAATTTTCAGCACATTTTTTATTTTTTATTTTGTTTGCCTTGTGAAGATTTGCAACAGATATGCTATCAAACCGATATTGCTATTGGTGCATTTTTTAATATTGCATGTGTTTTCTTAAATTGCAGCACAATAAACTCTCTCGGCCAAAGTATAATACACTTCTCAAAACACTTGATTGTTTGCACGCTCTCTTGAATTAGTTGCTCAAATGCACAATGCATTCTATTGATCTTACTTCAAAGAGTTTAAACAGTCTGACCTCAACACAAAGCTAACGTCAGAGGTCAAGCTAGCTCTTTGATTAGATAAACTACTCTCTTTTGTGTTTGCCGAACACATCCTAAGTGATGTTTAACTCCAGTTTCACGCTTCTTTCTTTCAAAAGCCTATATGACCTCTAATATTTTGCACGGTGTGATCCTAAATGCAGCCTTTGACACAGTTTCCAGGTTTTTTTTAAGGGATGCTATAGATCAGTCACAGACTGTGGGAGGCAGGGTGGGCGAAAGTGAGGGAGGGGGAGAGGGGGGATACTTGAGCAAAACAACAGATCGCTGCCCCTCATCCCTTTGTGTCGACGGTAACAATCCCTTTGAATGAGCTCCCGCGCACCACGCTAATCCTGCAAACAAATCTCAAATCTATAATGTGCTCTACTATTTTCCCACTCTTTTTGAGACCTTTCCACTTCTTTTATCTTTGCCTTGATGATAGAGCGTAATATTTTACTAGATGTTTTTTAGGTTAACTAGGCAAGTTAGGGTAATCAGGCAAGTCAACGATGGTTTGTTCTGTAGACAGTCGAAAAACAAAATAAGCTTAAGAGGACTCATAATATTAAACCTCCTTAAACTCCTTAAAAACTGCTTTAATTCTAGCCGAAATAAAATAAATAAGACTTTCTCTAGAAGAAAAAATATTATAGGAAATACTGTGAAAACTTCCTTGCTGTCTTTAACATCGTTTGGAAAATATATGGTAAAGACTTTGACTTCAGCTCTATCTAAAGTTACTTCAAAGTGTGACTTTTAGGGCTTGGCTGTTGGCTTTTTACACTGTGTTGTTTACCGGTTGAGGACACTGGGAGTGGTGCTCGCAGTTGCAAAGCCAAGGGGCTGGTCTAATGATTCACACCCCGTACCCACCCCACCCACTAGTGCCATGACTGACATGTGTTTCCCCGGCCCCTTTTTTACTACAACCCATCAACAATAGCTGCGGAAGAGCTGTCCTTGGTACTGAGAGTGGCAAGAGTGTTATGCGCGGGGAAAAAAAAGAAGGAGGAGGCGGGTGGAGGCGTGTTCTTTGTGTCGTGAAGCCCGTGTTAATCTGCTGTGGCATCCACTCAGAGACGAGCCTTACATCCGAGAACCAGCGTTGCCGTGAGGTGCCCACACGCAAGTGCGTCCTTCCAAAACAACAACAACCAAAAGAAGAAGATCAATTCCTAAGAGTGCATGATTGATTCAAGATTTCAGGAGCTTTTCTTTTGTTTGTTTTTCTTTTTTGTGCAGGACTTGGATTGAAGTTTTGGAAGGAGGTTTTTCTCAGGTGATATTATTGTGCACGTTTAACATGCACAGATGAAGAAGAGAGCATCTATCGGGCTGGAGTTGCATGCTGAAGGTGCTGAAGGTTGTAGCGTCGACTCCTGATTTTATGCACAGGAATACAACTTTTGCGAACTGTAGCATCACTTTGCAATGGCCCGAGTCTTTCCGGGTGGCACTGCAGAAGGGATCTCTGGATATCAGTTGGGTTTTTGGTCCCAGGGTCTCTAAATGGATCTATCTGATTTGGTTGGCGCAGTAGCCTGCAGGGACGAAGTTCTTCTGTAAGTACAATTTTATCTGACCTCTTGCACATTTCATGCATGGTTCTAATGTGTTGTTTGATACGACAGTACAGTATACATGGGACTTTTACATTACTTTGAAGATCTGATGAATGTACTGTGAATTTTCTAGAACATTTCTTTGAAAAACAGGGTCATCTCTGCTTAGGGAATTACAGTAACTTAATAGAATCTACAGTCAGAATAGAGGAGTTTGAAAGGACAGACAAACCCAAAGGTGTGCCCTGCAAATAAAACAAATGGTTAAAATTGTATTAAATTAAATTAAAATAGAGCAAATATCCCTAAATATCTTCAAAACGCGTTTAAATGACCTAAATGAAAGCAAAACGTATTGCACAGAACTACTTATATCACTACAGAATACCTACTAACATCACTTTCTTAAAGGGACAGTTCACCCAAAACGGAACATTCAGTTATGGTTTGGTCTATTGAGGCTAAAAGAAGATGTTTTGAAGCATGCTGGAAACCTGTAACCATTGACATCCATAGTATTTGCTTTTCCTACTACGGATGTCAGTGGTTACAGGTTTCCAGCATGCTTCAAAACACTTCTTTAGCATTCAACATGTTTAAATGGGTCAGATTTTAATAATGAGTAGATTTTCAATTTTGGGTGAACTATCCCTTTAAGGAAGAAATGTGATATTAGCTGTAGTATTCTGTGCAATAATCAATTAAAAAAGTCATTTAAATGTGTTTTAAAGATATTTAAGGCTACTAATGTATTTGCAAGGCACACCTTTTGGGTGACCAGACCTGTAATTTATAGAACAACAGTAATAATAATACATTTTAGTGCCAATTTTGTGACTAAGGTCATGCAACGTTGAACAGGTTTCAAAAAAGCAACAGGACGAATACTTATGAATATGAAAGGGTATCTGCTGCAAGGTTGCAGGTCATCAGGAGATGCCATGATGCAGAGGATGCTGGACAACAGCGCTGGGTCTCTAAGCTGGCAGTGCATTACCCATCTGGCTCCTTTAAACCCCCCAACCCCCTCCTCACTCACACACACTGCCCCTCACACGTAAACAAGCATGCCTAGATTCTTGGAGCACTCTGAAAATACTGACCTACATAAGAGAGAGTGCTGCCTCTTCCTTCTCCAACACTCCTGCAGATGCACACACTGCGAAACATCACACACCCACACACTACTGCATCACGAAGATTTTACGCGCACATTTGCATGTTTCATAGACGTCATGATTTATATAGGCTACTGTACAAAATGTATAATAACATAACCCTCTTGACAAATAATTGAATTCCGCTTGATTGCTAAGCCGTTTTTTCGAGTGGGGATCAAAATGGTCCCCATAAGGTCAAAAATGTCCAGTGTTATGCTGCCTGTGGAGATTTGGTCCCCTTAATGTAGGGATTACCAGGTACACATCTACGCATGTTTATGCAGCTGGCTCTTTAAACAGGCTTTATTCTTTTAGGCCAAACCTAAACCTAGCCCTCACAGAAACATTAGGGTAAGCATTATTTTGAATGTGCATGCTGGTCCCCACAATGTCTAAATGATTTTATAGTCCTTGTGAGCACATTGCTTGCACACACACGCTTGCACACTGAAAATTAATATTGTTATCCAGTTCTCGGTGAATATAGATCATTTATTTTGGTGCATTTAAACAAAACAGATTTATTAAATAGATATATTTATTAAAATAACATTTTAGTCACCAGACATATTTAAAAATGCAAAGATAATACAATTAAATTCAAGCAAAAACTGCAAAAATAAACTACAACCTACAAAATTTCAACAAATTTTTTACTTCTCTTGAGTTTTCCGGTTTTTAAAATTTGTATTTAATATTTATCTATAATATATAAATATTGTTGTTCTAGTTTTTGAACCGTTATCCTGAGTTATTTTGTTAGATTAGCTCCAGATTTGGCTTTAGTACTGATAATCTACAACCTACAAAATTTCAACAAAATTTTTCAATTTTACTTGCTTCTCTTGATTTTTCGTCTTTTTAAAATTTGCATTTAATATTTTTCTGTAGCATAAATTTTGGTGTTCTAGTCTTTGAACCATTCTCTTGAGTTATTTTGTTAAATAATCTAATTTATATGCACAAATATAATAGTGTTTAGCTTCCTATTAAAAATATGAATTTAAAACATAGATTTGTGAGGTACATATATATGTAGTTTATGAGGACTCTCCATATGCATACTTTATTTTATACTGTAAAAATGCTTATTATATTCTTACCCTTGAATCCAATCCTTACAGTAAACATGCGGCAGATTTTGAATGTCAAATGTTAAATATAATTTTTAATCATGTTGAATTACAAGGACACAATACATGTCCTTATAAAGCTCATCACCTAACACTTTACAGTAACATTACATGAATAATAATGCATTAATATGTAAACTAAACATTACTTTATTATGAATTAATGATGAGTTAAGGCAGAGTGTTCAAACTAGGGCACGTGAGCCAAAGTTGGCCCATTCTAACCTTTGATTTAGCCTACCATTCCAGTTGGGAAAGAGGGAGATTTGGTCCCCTTAATGTAGAGATTACCCGGTACAAATATACGCATGTTTATGCAGCTGGCTCTTTAAACAGGCTTTATTCTTTTAGGCCAAACCTAAACCTAGCCCTCACAGAAACATTAGGGTAAGCATTATTTTGAATGTGCATGCTGGTCCCCACAATGTCTAAATGATTTTATAGTCCTTGTGAGCACATTGCTTGCACACACACGCTTGCACACTGAAAATTAATATTGTTATCCAGTTCCCAGTGAATATAGATCATATATTTTGGTGCATTTAAACAAAACAGATTTATTAAATAGATATATTTATCAAAATAACATTTTAGTCACTAGACATATTTAAAAATGCAAAGATAATACAATTAAATTCAAGCAAAAACTGCTAAAATAAACTACAACCTACAAAATTTCAACTAATTTTTTGCTTCTCTGGATTTTTGCTCTTTTTAAAATTTGCATTTCATATTTTTCTGTAACATAAATTTTGGTGTACTAATTTTTGAACCATTATTGTGAGTTATTTTGTTAAATAATCTAATGTATATGCACAAATATAATAGTGTTTAGCTTCCTATTAAAAATATGAATTTAAAACATAGATTTGTGAGGTACTTATATATGTAGTTCATGAGGACTCTCCATATGCATACTTTATTTTATACTGTAAAAATGCTTATTATATTCTTACCCTTAAATCCAATCCTTACAGTAAACATGCGGCAGATTTTGAATGTCAAATGTTAAATATAATGTTTAACCATTTTGAATTACAAGGACACAATACATGTCCTTATAAAGCTCATCACCTAACATTTTACAGTAACATTACATGAATAATGATGTATTATTATGTAAACTAAACATTACTTTATTATGAATTAATGATGAGATAAGGCAGAGATGTTCAAACTAGGCATGGGCCATTATAGGATTCTGACAGTATCATAACCTTGGATATAAATATCACGGTTTAACGGTATCACAATATTGAGATTACTGCTTTAAAAATTGTATTCTTTTTAAATGTTTGGGTAAAAAACTAAACTTTTTCCCCTTTATACACAATATATTTTAATTTGGGAAACATTTAAAATATTTTGGAGCAGTAAACATGTCAGGCTAAATAATTAAAATACATTTTTGACTTCTGCTGTCTTCATTTGTTTCACAATTTTACCATTTAAAATGGCATCTTTGGATGACTTTTCTGCTGGAGATACTGCTGTCCTAAAAAAACAAACAAAAAAATGGTAATAAAAAATCTTACTCATACCTTAGGAACGGTATTGCAGAAAATTTTGACGGTTTTAAAACCTTGACTTTCCCAAACCGCGGTATACCTTGAAGGTAGAACGAAGAGAGAATGATGAGTTGGTGGATGGGGCGAATATCTTTGACAAATACCGTCATTTCAAATCTAATGTAACCATTTGTTTTTTGTTTAGTATTTTCTTTAGTTTTGGAAGTTTTAAAAAAAAAATGTAAACTCACTCGACAGATATCAGGCAATGCACAAGACATCAGCGAGCAAATCAAGGCAAAGGCGGGTGCAGCTTAGTGTATTCAGCATTGAACTCCACTGTATTAAATTGGATTGTGTATGTTGTTGCTGTGATAACCTCATTAAACATTATTATTTTTAAATATAATGCATTCGTTAATGTTTAAAGCAGTGTTTTATAGTTATTTTTAAATATTAAGAAATAAATTAGGTGATTACCCATGGAAACTTTAATGTACCTTCGGCCCAAAGCCCTCAGTCAAGTTTGGATTTTGGCCGTTCATAAGAAAATGTTTGGGCAGCCCTGAGTTAAGGCATGCGCTAATCAGGAATTAACGTTAACAACATGAGTCACATGAGTGAATAACGGCTATCCTAATTGCTTGTTAGCACTTGTTGTTAATTAATGTATTAAATAACATTTAAGTTCAAGCTAAATGTAACCAACATGACATGTTAATGTACAATTACGCCATGACTTTACTTGGAGGGGCACATCATCATTAACTCATCCTTAACCACTAATGAACTCTGCGTTTAAACAGTTGATGTTGCCAGAACACTTTTCAATTGTTGTTCAGTGTAAACAAACTAGACGGACGTGCATTAAGAGTTTATAAGTAGTTAAGAATAGATTAAAGGTGATGTGCCCCTCCAAGTAAAGTCATGATATAATTGTACATGAGTTCATAATGGTTAAATTAAGCATAAACTAATGTGCTAATCAAGACATTAATTAACAAACAACCATGTCCTAATGAGTAATTTAGGTTGCCGTTATTCACACATTAACTCATCATTCACTCATTCATTTTATTTTCAGCTTAATCCCTATGTTTAGCTTACATATGAATACATCATTACTCATGTACTGTTATTGTAAAGTGTTGCCCCCCCTCAACAGTGTACACCAAGACCATACACATGCCATTATACAATTGAGTCAGCGTAATCATATAAACAAGTAAACACACACACATTTGCACAAACATGGTTATTAAGGGTTGCTCAGAGCTCAGTGTCCTGCTACTGTATGCTTCATAATGCAGAATGAGACATGCACTTGCCTGTTTTCATGAGAACTAGGCTGTAAACAATACTACCACAGCTTACTCAAACTAGTAAACAATATGCGCTCCTAAAGCTTAGAGCTCAGCTCCTTCTCTCTATGCGTTTGTTGATGGTGGGAGAATCTCATTGACCCAGAATCCATGCGTATTTACACAATAACTCAATAAAATAGCACCGCTGTGCGAATATAGCAATTCTCGTCATATGATTATTATTACCACCATGCCATAACTGCTTGAAGGGATAGTTTACCCAAAAATAAAAATCATTTATTCCCCTTCATGTGGTTGTAAACCTTCATGGGTTTTTTTATATTAACAAAAAAGAAGATATTTTGAAGAATGTTGGTTGCTTACACCCAGTGACTTCTATAGTGGAAAAAAATTATAATATGGAAGTCTTCCCAGTACTGGGTTACAGCTGGAAGGGCATTCGCTTTGTAAAACATATGCCGGAATAGCTGGCGGTTCATTCCACCGTGGGGGCCCCTGATAAATAAGGGACTAAGCCGAAGGAAAACGAATGAATATGGAAGTCAGTGGGTGCCAGCTAAGATCAAGCAGTTGATGACAAGACAAGTAGATGACAAAAGTAACTACCCCGTTAACATGAGATATAATCTACAATTCTGCATGGGGCAGCACGGTGGATCAGCGGTTAGCACTGTCGCCTCACAGCAAGAAGGTTGCTGGTTTGAGTCCAAGCTGGACCAGTTGGCCTTTCTGTGTTTAGTTCAGCATGTTCTGCCCGTGTTGGTGTAGGTTTCCTCCGGGTGCTCTGGTTTACCCCACAAGTCCAAACACATGCGCTATAGGGAAATTTTGGGCGTAGTGTATGAGAGTGTGTGTGAATGTGAAGGTGTATGGATGTTTACCAGTACTGGGTTGCAGCTGGAAGGGCATCCGCTGCGTAAAACATATACTGGAATAGTTGGCTGTTCATTCCTCTGTGGCGACCCTTGAAATAGAGACAAAATCGGAGGAGAATGAATGAATAAGTTGGTGGTTCATCCTGCTGTGGCGACCCCTGAAATAGAGACTAAACCGAAGGAAATTGAATGAATGAGTTGGTGGTTCATTCCGCTGTGGTCACCCCTGAAATAAAAACTAAACCGAAGGAAAATGAATTAATGAATGAGTTGTCGGTTCATTCCGCTGTGACGACCCCTAAAATAGAGACTAAAACGAAGGAAAATGAATGAATTTATGAATGAGCTAGTGGTTCATGCCGCTGTGGCGACCCCTGAAATAGAGACTAAACCAAAGGAAAATGAATGAATGAGTTGGTGGTTCATTCCACTGTGGCAACCCATGAAATGGGAGACTAAACCAAAGAAAAATGACTGAATGAATAAGTTGGCAGTTCATTCCGCTGTGGCGACCTCTGAAATAGAGACTAAACTGAAGGAAAATGAATGAATGAGTTGGCGGTTTATTCTGCTGTGACGACCCCATGAAATAAAGTCTAAAATGAAGGCAAATGAATGAATAAATAAATTGGCGGTTCATATCGCTGTGGCAACCCCTGAAATAGACGCTAAACGGAATGAAAATGAATGAATAAATGAGTTGGTGGTTCATTCCGCTGTGGCCACCCCTGAAATAGAGACAAAATCGAAGGAGAATGAATGAATAAGTTGGTGGTTCATTCCGCTGTGGCGACCTCTGAAATTGAGACTAAACTGAAGAAAAGTTAATGAATGAATGAGTCGGCAGTTCATTCCGCTCTGGTGACCCCTGAAATTGAGACTAAACTAAAAGAAAATTAATGAATGAATAAGTTGGTGGTTCATTCCGCTGTGGCGACCTCTGAAATTGAGACTAAACTGAAGAAAAGTTAATGAATGAATGAGTTGGCGGTTCATTCCGCTCTGGTGACCCCTGAAATTGAGACTAAGCTAAAAGAAAATGAATGAATGAATGAGTTGGTGGTTCATTCCACTGTGGCGTCCCCTGAAATAGAGATTAAACCAAAGAAAAATGAATGAATGAATGAGTTGGCAGTTCATTCCGCTGTGGCGACCCCTGAAATAGACACTAAACCGAAAGAAAAATGAATGAATGAATGAGTTGGTGGTTCATTCCACCGTGGCAACCCCGGAAATGGGAGACTAAACCAAAGGAAAATGAATGAATGAGCTGGCGGTTCATTCCGCTGTGGTGACCCCTGAAATTGAGACTAACCTGAAGGAAAATGAATGAATGAATGATTTGGAGGTTCATTCCACCGTGGCGACCCCTGAAATAGAGACTAAGCAGTAGGAAAATGATTGAATCCACAATTCAAACGATCACAGTAGTAACTTTAATGCAATTGTTTTTTCTCATTGCAGAATGCCCTGCTGGAATGCCTGTGAGCAATGATTAGCTCTAAAGAGGAGGATTCGCTAATGTTTATGCAGTATGTGGAAGACTGTGGACTAAGAGCATATAACAGATTGGTCACGCATAACATCGACCAAGTGTGGAATGAGAAAAGCAAGATTAACTTTCAGGAGAAAAACGACAAGAAGCGAAAGCAGGAAGAAGCCATTAAAAGGTAAGCGGTTTGACAAATGTAAACAAGGACACAAAATAAAGACACACTTTAAAGGGATAGTTCACCCAAAAATGAAAGCTACCTCATCATTTATTCATTTAATTAGTCCCTTTATTCATCAGGGGTCACCACAGCAGAATGAACCACCAATTTATCCAACATATGGGTTGCCCTTCCAATACTGGGAAGCACCCATGCACTCTTAATCACACACATACGCTATGGCCAATTTAGTTTATTCAATTCACCTGTACCGCATGTCTTTGGACTGTCGGGGAAACCGGAGCAACCTGGAGGAAACCCATGCAAACACGGGGAGAACATGCCAACTGGCCGGGACTCGAACCAGCGAACTTCTGACTGTGAAGCGACAGTGCTACAGAATTTTTATTTTTGGCGTGAACTATCCCTTTAAATACCCTCACTCTTCTCACAAACAACAACACAAGGAAACAAACCATAACGTGATTCCCCGTGGTGCTGCCTTACACTTAGTCCTTCTGGCGATGGCATAATGCCGTCCATGTGTTGAATGACAGAAAAGTCTGTGTCCCAATCTACATGTGGAAGCTGATTAATTTTTCAGTTTTGACATAATTGGGGCTTGAACCTGCACAGCAATGTCTTTTGTCTTTGGGAGCAGCTCAGAAAGTTAAACAGGCGCCCACAAAATGGATAACGCCGCACTGTACATTACTGATCCAGTATCAGTTTCACGCTACTTATTAAATAAAGTCATCTTAATGTCATTTCAGGCATGCGAAAGTAATTGCAGGCATTAAGTAGCCATTTTGACACTTCAGATTAGTGGCCTTGCTAACATTAACATAGCTGTAATCGTGTCAGTGGGCAATTTGCAGTTGAGTGGCGCTCCAGACCCGGTGGCATGGATTGCATTGATTGCATTTGACACCGACTTCTCAGCGCAGTAAAAGCTAAATGCTCTTAGAGACCTCGTTTGGGCATTCGGCTCCAGCGTCAACTACCTAAAAAGCATTTATTTCAGCTCTGACATGACGTAAGGTTGTGCTTCCAAGAAATGGTGTATCGTAATACACTCCTGCATAGGATTTTTTGAAGCACTATACCTACTTGGCAAAATGTCTCTGGGAAGCTCTGGCCCACACAATCAGCTTTTGCTTGGCCCACATGCACATACACAGTGAATTACGGTACATGATTGGACCAATCTGGCTTTCGTTAAAAGGCCAAACATGGACCATATTTGGGCCAAGTCTCAGCCAAGTTTATAACTCATATAACTGGGCCTGAACTGGGTCAGATATGTTGGTGTGTCACGACTGCAATGAATTTGATAAACCAATGAACATTTACATTACATTTAGTCATTTAGCAGACGCTTTTATCCAAAGCGACTTGCAAATGAGGACAAGGAAGCAACTTACACAACTATAAGAGCAACAATGAATAAGTGCTATAGGCAAGTTTCAGGTCTGTAAAGTCTAAGAAGGAAAGCATTAGTAAATTTTTATTTATTTATTTTGAGTACAGTTAGTGGTATATCCAGAGAGGCAATTGCAGATTAGGAAGGGAAGTGGAGACTAAATAGTTGAGTTTTTAGTCGTTTCTTGAAAACAGCGAGTGACTCTGCCGTTCTGATGCAGTTAGGGAGTTCATTCCACCAACTGGGCAGATTGAACGCGAGCATTCAGGAAAGGGATTTCTTCCCTCTTTGGGATGGAACCACGAGGCGACCGTCATTCACAGAACGCAAGTTTCTGGAGGGCACATAGATCTGCAGAAGTGAGAGCAGATAAGAAGGAGCAAGGCCAGAAGTCGCTTTGTAGGCAAACATCAGAGCTTTGAATTTGATGCGAGCAGCAACTGGCAGCCAGTGCCAACGGATGAGCAGCGGAGTGACATGTGCTCTTTTAGGTTCATTAAAAACCATTTCTCGTGCTGCTGCGTTCTAGAGCAGCTGAAGAGGCTTGATAGAGTTAGCTGGAAGCCCGGCTAGTAGAGAGTTGCAGTAATCCAGTTTGGAGAGAACAAGAGCTTGAACAAGGAGTTGAGCTGCATGTTCAGATAAGAAGGGTCGGATCTTTCTGATGTTATAGAGTGCGAATCTGCACGATCGAGCAGTTCTAGAAATGTGGTCAGAGAAGTTTAGTTGGTCATCAATCGTTACTTCAAGGCTTTTTTACCATTTTGGATGCAGTAATGGTTGCCTCATCCATCTGGATTGAAAAGTTATGGTGTAGAGTCGGGTTGGCAGAAACTACAAGCATTTCCGTTTTTGCGAGGTTCAGCTGAAGATGATGATCTTTCATCCACTGTGAAATGTCCAATTAATTTCATCCAATTTTTTTTTGTCTTGTTTCTAGTCCAAATATCTAAAAAATCCTAAATCAAGAAGAATTTTCTAGACAAGCAAAACTTATAGTCTTGTTTTGAGAAATAATATGCCAATATTAAGTGAGTTTTTCCTTAAAACAAGCAGAATAATCTGCAAATGAGGTAAGCAAATTAATCTTACGTCAAAAGAAAAAAAACAAGATTATTGATCTTGTTTTCAATAGCAGACATTTTAGATAAGTAGATGAGACAAGCCACCTACAGTATGGTTATGTTAAAATACTTAAATTATTTGTGACTGAGCTTGAAACGTACGCAGATCTTAGGCGTCCCATATTACCCAGCGTCCCAGATTACCATTATAAACTTTTTTTTTTAGGTCATCTCAGCATCTCTTGACAAAATCTTCATTTGGCTAACTCTCGCTGTTGATGTCTTGTCCCAGTCAAAAAACTCCTATATGAGATGCACATGATTTCCCAACAGTACTATGTCCTAAAACCGAAAGAGTTTGATTGAAGCGAGTCTTCGGCGAGGCTCTGATTTACAGAAGACACTTTGCTGTTGAGGAACTTTCACAACAAGTCAGCTGCAAAGGTAATAGAAAAGGTGTTGGTCTGCTTATCAGCTGTTGCTGATATAAAATATTCATACCCAGTGGCTGCAGGATAAGGCCTAGAAAAAAAAAGAATAGCTGGATTTTTTATGAGGCATATAAGTGGGTCAATGAGACGACCCATTTTTGCAGGAACTGATGGGAAGAGAGAGAGAGGGAGAGAGAGAAATCTGTTACAAAGAGATTAAGTGTGAAGAGTGTGCTAGCAGGAGATGTGTTCTGCCTGGTGACAGCTGGAGCAGCCACCAACCAATCGGATTGCTGCATTGCACTGAGTGAGGCGGGTTTTTAATTTTGAGCCATTCAGTGTCGGAGCTTCTGCTGTATCTGGGAGTGCACAGAAACTTTGCTAATGCAAAATTCCACATGCTAATGAGACAACTATGCTGTGAACACTGAAGAACATAAACAGAAAATATAAATCATGTAACTAAAATGATCTTATGCAGGAGGGCAAAAATATTGATTTTGCAATGTAAAATTAATATTTTGGCAAGATTTTCTTCTGTGAATTAAAAAGGTTGGAAGAATGAGGTCCAGCAGCTACAATGCACCAACTTTAAAAGGATATTTCACCCATAAATGAAAATTACCTCATCTTTTACTCTCCCTCATGTAGTTTTAAACCTTTATGAGTCAGATATTTTGAAAAACAAATGCTAGTTGATGGTACCTGTTGTGAACTGATATTCTGAGGAATTAACACACGTCCATCTGTACTTTAATTAAATTCAAATAAAAAAAATAAAATTTAAATAAATTTAAATTTGAAAATTAAAATTAAATTAAATTTAAATTGTCCTGTACTTTTTTTTGTGAACATGCTATAACATACAACTTCGTGGTATGTTCCTCCTGCATAACTAATGAGGAGTGCATTCTTGAAGGAACCAACACATTAAAGTGCAACACTTTATAAACACATAAATCTCTTTATATTTATAAGACAGATCATCCATCACAATGATCTACAGCAATGGTTCTCAAAGTGGGGGTCGGGACACCCCGAGGGGTCGCGGGACAATGAAGGGGGGTCGCCTGTTGATTTCCAAAAATTGATTTATTTTTATTAAACCATAAGTATTACCATATTTTATCCATAACCTACTGAAGAGAAAAAAATTGTCGTTTATTATCATATATAGTTACTATAGTAGCTTATAGTTACTACTTCTATTGGATTGCAACCCCTAGGGTAATTACATTGTATTAAAGACAGCAATAGCGTCAGATGCAGCAGATTTCATAACACCCGGTTAAACTTTGTGGCCCATTTACAGCTCTCATACATTAAAAAAATTAAAAGAAGAATAGACTTGGGTCCATTGGTGTGTGTGCGCCATTGCATGCAAGGTTTCTGTATTTATAACCACCTCAGAGTATATTGGGGGTCACGAGTCACTGGCATTGTCATTTTGGGGGTCGTGGCCTGAAAAGTTTGGGAACCACTAATCTACAGTACCTATTAATTTCCATAGTAGGAACAAAATTACAATAGAAATCAACCATCAACCACACTAAAAAATGGCCGTGATTTCAACGGTACAAAACTGTAAAAATGCTACAGTACAAATGCGTAACCTGGTTAACAGTATGTTTCCTTAATATATTCGGCATATAACCGTAAATTGACTTTCCCAGAATTCCCTGCATGGCACATAACTTTTTATGCATTTGGTTGACATTATTATGGATCTTTTTAGTTGTTTCCCCATCAGTTATGTACATTAGAGATTTATAATACATCTAATGTTGATAAACAATCTTTATTTCATGACTTTAATTTTATGCGTGTTACCACACTGGGGTTTAGTAGCTGTGTGAATGACACCGAGTACCTTCTACATGCTGATACTTTTATCTGCTTGTGGGAAAAGTTGATTGTGATGAGCATTGGCTCATTATGTAACTGCCTCATCACCACTTGCATGTGGGTGTGCTAAAGTGTCTAACTGTTTAACAAAAGATGTTTAAATGTTGATCATTCAAAATACAAACATTTTACCTCGATGAATTACTAAAATATGGTAATTTACCGTAAAAATTATAAATTACTTTTACGGTTTGTACCGTGTTTTTAACGGTAAGGTACTGGCAACCACAGCTGCCGTTTTTTTTACCGTAAATATTACGGAATTATTTTTTACAGTGCAGCATTCTTCAAAATATCTTCTTTTGTGTTTAACAGAAGAAAGAAACTGAAATAGGTGTGTAACAAGTGAATGGGTGAGTAAATAATGAATTTTTGGTTGAAGTATCACTTCAGTCACAATGACTCTTTAACTGTCAAGGGCACTGTGATAAATAATACAGCGCCACACATACATACATACACCAAAACAAATTGTCAAGAAGATTATTGTCATTGTAGATTATCAAGAACTGCTTTCAGCTGGCTTTATTTACAACTGATGTCCATACAGAACTGCCAATATTTTGACTAACGGAAGTTTTAAAAACAGATTAATATGTTAATCAAATTGTCCTGCCTCAGACTCACGCTACTATGAGCCCATAGTGCGGCACATTGTTTTGAAAAGCACAGCAAAGTCTTAGTTTCTACACTTTTTTGACGAAATCTACCAAATTCTTAGTACATGTTAAAGGAACTTGTTTTAAACAGGTTTATTTTACTCTTCTAGAGTTAAACAGTTGAGTTTTACCATTTTTGAATCCAGCCACCCAACTCCAGTTACAGGGGGAGGACATTTAGCTTAGCTTAGCATTGGTCATTGAATCGCTTTAGACTATTATCCATTAGCATCTCTCAGAGATTGCTGCTGTACCATGGCTGCAGGAGGCACAATAATATTACACAGATTCTAATCGATGGTGCAACAGGGGCGTCACAGGGGGAATGTTTTCTGTCAATTCTAAGGGCCCACGCCGTTTTGGGGCCAGCGGCATGGCTATAATGCTGGACCTGGAGATCGGTTGAATGGGAAAAAAAAATGGTAAAAGTAAACTGTTCATCTCTAGTGGAGTTGTAAAGTGAGCCTATTTTGAGTCCATTCAGCCGATCTTCAGTTATGGGGAGCACTTTTAGCTTAGCTTAGCATTGGTCATTAAATCACTTTAGACCAGGGGTGTCCAAACTCGGTCCTGGAGGGCCACCCTACTTAAAAACCAGCTTAAACCAGCCTAGGCTGGTTGGCTGGTTTTAGCTGGTAGACCAGGCTGGTTTTAGAGGGGTTTTGGCCATTTCTGGGCTGGTTTAAAGCCATTTCCAGCCTGGTCTTATCTGGTCAGGCTGGGAGATGACCAGCTAAAATCAGCTTGACCAGCCTAGCCAGGCTGGGAGCCAAGCCAAAACCAGCTATGTCCAGCTTAAACCAGGCTGGTCAAGCTGGCTTAACTGGATTAAGCTGGTCATTTTCCAGCCTGACCAGCTAGGACCAGGCTGGAAATGGCTGTAAACCAGCCTGGAAATGGCCATAACCCCTCTAAAACCAGCCTGGTCAACCAGCTAAAACCAGCCAACCAGCCTAGGCTGGTTTAAGCTGGATTTTTGAGCAGGGCAGTGTCCTGCATATTTTGGTTCCACCTGAACCAGCTAATCAAGCTCTTTCTAAGTATACTAGAAAGCTCCAGGCAGGTGTGTTAAAGGAAGTTGGAGCTAAACTATTCAGGACACCGGCCCTCCAGGGCTGAGTTTGGACACCCCTGCTTTAGACTATTAGCCATTGGCATCTCAGTCTGAAATTGCTTCCATACCATGGCTGCAGCAGGCAAAATAATGTTACATTCTAACTAATGATACAAGTGTAAAGCTTGGTCCCGGGGACTATATCATTGCATCTGATGCAGCCATGGTACCACAGCAAAGTTTCTTGATCATTATGGCTGATTGAAAATATAGTTCCTAGCCATATCAGCCTGTAAAATAGCTAACTTTTTATTTTCCATCTAAAGTGTCAAGCTCTAAATGGGAATATTATCAATAGTCTTTGGTCATTTTTGAACATGATGCTAATGGTCTAATCTGATTCAATAATTTATGCTAAGCTAAGCTAAAAGCATTGGACCTGGAGATCAGTTGAATGAAAAAAAAAAGGTAAAACTCAAATGTTTATCTCCACTGGAGCCTATTTTTAAACCATTCAGCCAATCTCCAGGTATGGTGGAGCACTTTTAGCTTAACTTAGCTTAGCATACATTGTTGAATCGGCTTAGACTATTAGCCATTTGCATCTTGCTCAAAATGACTGCAGCAGGAACAATGATGTTACGCAGATTGTAACTGATTGTGCCAGTGGCGGATTTAGGCATGGGCAACATGGGCGATCACCCCGGGCAGCATCTTGCAAGAGGCGGCAGTACTGGATGGTGCAAGTGTAGGGCTTTGTTTTCGAGACTATTTTCAGGTGCTGGGCAATATCATTCCGTGTGCTGCAGCGATGGTATTGCTGAAAAGTTCCTTGATTATTACAACAAGAGTCTGCTTCCTAGCCATATTGGCTTTTTATTTTTAATAGTGCACAATGTGCAACTACAGAAGTTAAACCTTAAATAGGAATATTAAACTCGTTGGTCATTTTTGAATATGATGCTAATGGTCTAATCTGATTCGAAGATTTATGCTAGGCTAAGCTAAAAGTCTTGGAGATTGGCTGAATGGATTAAAAAATGTGGACAACTGTGGAGTTGTAAAGTGACCCTATTTTTTTTAGGTGGAGTGTCCTTAAATCTGAGATATAGGTAAAAATAGAGTAGAAATAAAAATTCCAAGCATCGTTTAAGGTCTTTGTTCAAAGCCGGACTGAATGCTGTGCTAAAAGGAGTAGTATGGTGTCAGTTACTTCTTTTAACAGTAGGAAACTTGTTTTGGCCGAGCAGAAGCAGGCACATGCGGTGCAGACAGCTGCTCCAACATCACCGTTCCTCTCCCTAACGAGAGCTTAATGTCTGATCCATCACGTGTTTGCTGGATGTGTATTTGGGAGCCTGTTGTGTGTGACTGAACTGGTTGCACAGAGCGGCAGCAGCAGATTTTGTGTTTGTTTTCATGGGTTCGCTGTTGCTAGGCAAAGTTAAGCCCCTGACCAATTAGCCCTTTTCTTGAGACGTCCGCTCTTCTGCAGCTGTGTGTTCAGGAAAGTTACACACTAACATGCACTTGGGTCATAAACGATCACACCTTGAAGTCTGCAAACAAACTCACTTGTGCCGTTGACTCAAACAAAAGGATGGCTTGTAGTTTCATTCTCATGCCTGAAAGATAGAGGGGGATAGAGAGAGAGACAGATGATGTCATATTTTTGTATTATTGTGTCATCATAGTCCCAGTGCATTAAAGGGATGGTTAGCCAAAAAATGAAAACATCCTCACCATTTACTTCAGTGGGTCTAAACGTTCAAGAATTTCTTTCTTCTACCCATCAGAGTTTGCAACCAGTGTAAATATTAATCCCTTACCCCAACCTCAGAACCATTTAATTACAGTGTTGGCAGGATAATCTGATGGCCCTACTGAAAAAAAACAGCTTAAACCAGCCTAGACTGGTTGGCTGGTTTTAGCTGGTAGACCTGGTTTAGAGGGGTTCTGGCCATTTCCAGGCTGGTCTTTGCTGGTCAGGCTGGGAGATAACCAGTTAAAACCAGCTTGACCAGCCTAGCCAGGCTGGGAGCCCAGCCAAAACCAGCTATGTCCAGCTTAAACCAGGCTGGTCAAGCTGGTTTTAGCTGGATGTAGCTGGTCATTTTCCAGCCTGACCAGCTAAGACCAGGTTGGAGATGACTGGAAACCAGCCTGCCCTACTCAAAAAAAACAGCTTAAACCAGCCTAGGCTGGTTGGCTGGTTTTAGCTGATAGACCAGGCTGGTTTTAGAGGGGTTTTAGCAATTTCCAGGCTGGTTTCCAGCCATTTCCAGCCTGGTCTTAGCTGGTTAGGCTGGACAATGCCTAGCTAAATCCAGCTAAAACCAGCTTGACCAGCCTGGTTTAAGCTGGACATAGCTGGTTTTGGCTGGGCTACCAGCCTGGCTAGGCTGGTCAAGCTGGTTTTTGCTGGTCATATCCCAGCCTGACCAGCTAAGACCAGGCTGGAAATGGCTGGAAACCAGCATGGAAATGGCCAAAACCCCTCTAAAACCAGCCAACCAGCCTAGGGTGGTTTAAGCTGGATTTTTTAGCAGGGTGGAAATGGCCAAAACCCCTCTAAAACCAGGCTGGTCAACCAGATAAAACCAGCCAACCAGCCTAGTCTGGTTTATGCTGCATTTTTCAGTAGGGGGGTAGAATAAAATGTCAGGATACTGGTGGTCAGCTCCAACTTCCTTCAACACGACTGCTTGAAAGTATACCAAAAAAGAGCTTGATTAGCTGGATCAGGTGTTTCTGATTGGGCTTGGAACTAAACTTTGCTGGACACTGGCCCTCCAGGACTGATTTTGGGTACTCTTGGTTTATAAGAAAGTGTCTGGTGCATAGGAAGAGGAAAGAGTGTGTTTCCTAAACCACATATCAGTTTAAAAATTGTTAAAAAATCGCATTGCCACTCATTAATGGATTCAGAAAGCATTCATTAATTAAATTTTCTCTTTCTCTTAGGGGGGAAGAAGTGGTCACTGAGGGCAAGCACCTGCGAATGGGCTCAATGAGCATGCCGGCCCCTGCGGAGCACATGTCCCCTCACCAGCACCAGCACCCCTGTAACCCGGGCTTCAGCGTCCGCTCCCAGTCCCTGCACTCGGTGGGAGGGTTGGAAGAGGAGGGAAGCCCCACATCCCGTAAGCAGCCCCCACCCAAACCCCGGCGGGACCCCAGCACAAAACTCAGCATCTCCTCTGAAGCGGTGGACATCAGTCCCACTTACTGTAAAGGCGATGAATCAGAGAGGTGTGATGGTAAGTGCCTCTTTAATCCAAACTTCACCTACACAGTTCCTGCTCCACTGATTCTGCAGTGTAGCTGTTGTTCAATCATTGGTTAAGATGACCCCTGGCTATTCTCTTATGTAAAAGCAAACACACCTGTGTCAACAATGCGGAGAGTAGGCTACCATCATTTTGAATAGTCAAATCACGTTGGCTTACAGCTTGTCTGAGTGCAAACAAGATTGTAATATGTTATGTTTTAAAGGCTATAGTTTGAGTTTCAATGCTAGAGGTTGCTGCAGGCTCACTTGTTTATTCTGCTAGGTAGTATATCTAAAATTCATTCTTAAAGGAACACAAATTACTCATTTTAAAAGTTAAACATAGTTAAACAGATTGGTTTTACTAGTTTTGAATCCATTCAGCCAATCGATCTCTGGGTCTGGCACTTTTAGCTTAGCTTAGCATAGATCATTAAATCAGATTAGACTATTAGCATCTCGCTCAAGAATAAACAAAGTGATACTTAGTTACTCCTACAGCCATTTATTAGTGGGGGTAAAATAAAGCTTTCTGAACCAATGAACCGCTCAACTCAATGGACCCTTCGCTGAGCCCCGCCCTCCTTAGTTATTGTTGCTACGCCTAACAAGCTTTCGTGCCTGGCATGGCTTTTTCAATGTTTGTGTGCCGGTTTCAGACATTGCCAGGGATATAATGTCATTTTTGGCAAACAGGTGAGATATCAGAGAAAGCCAGACAAAAAAAGACTGCAGTATGCATTACAGGGGTATATTCACCACATAATAGGCAACTGATTAGAGAATAAATCAACCAAAATTGAAGCTAGCTTAGCCTAGCCGCCTCATATGCTAACCATTCAACAGCTTAACTCATGCTCAGCAGGAGAGGTGACGTTTAAAAATAATCTAATAATAACAAATGAAACCGTGATTTCTCTATTTTCAGCCAAAAAGCTTGATAGATTATTGTTATGCAATGAAATATAGCCTTACTAACCGACGAGGAAACACGCATGACAGTGCTTTTACATAGTTCATTCATAGAAAGACAGCCAGAAAGGGGAAACTGATGGATTTGTGTCGGATATTAGCATCATTGACCCATAACAATGTACAGTAAGTTACCTATTACTGTCAGCCTGTTTGTGTGCTCTTTATTAATGACTAAAAAGCAGCTGCGGGTAAAGTATATTGATCGCAGCGGCTCAGTTTGTGATCATATCTCGGTTTTGTTATGTCAAATATTCGTAGCTTGAAATAGGTGGAAATATAAAGTTCAGTAAAGTTAGCGACAGATTCGCAGTTTCGTATTTTCCGGATCAATACCTCATGTCATTATGACCTATTCCCCTGTAATGGGGAGACTGACACGGAGGGATCCATTATGCAGTATTTATTAGTCACTTTCACTCAAACAATCAACATGCACCAAGGTGCGAACACACAACAACAATAGTAATAATGGTCTTAAGGCTGGCGGCTGACAGACACAGAGTGATTTACCAGGCATGGGTCAGAGGCAGGCGGCGTGATTCAGAGTCCGTGTATCAGGCTTGGGTCAAGGGCAGGCAGCGAGTATCAGAGTCCGTGTAACAGGCTTGGGTCGTGGGCAGGCAGAAGGCAGAGCAGAGTCAGAAACGGGCTGGAGTAATACACAGGAGATCAGGCAGGATATAACGCTCAGTAATGCTGGCCGGGGCTGAACAAGACTTCGCAAAGACTGAGTGTTTGAGTGCGGCTTATAAAGGGTATGTGGGTCATTAACGGGATTCAGTTCAGATGTGCTAGATCAGTGTAAGTGGATGATGTAATGCTTAGAAGTCCGGAGATGGTGGCCTCTCCTGGCCAGCGAGGGGAGTGACTGGGACCGAGTCGGTGACATCCCCATTAGTATGACTACGTTACTAACGTTATGGCGAAGGCTTAAACGGAGCATTACTCATAATATCAAGCGAAAAAAAGGAATAAGACAGACAGTTGTAAAACATAACCATCTTTGTGTTTTTGTAGAAAACACAGTTTAGATCTGTTTAGGGTAGGAGGTGTTTGAGTTATTGCCGATTGTCTATCACTGAATGTGTCAGGAATATCAAAACAAAACCAACCTAGCTCCGCTCCTTTACTACCCCTCACACAGCCTGATCCACGCTGGCATTTCTCCTCTTGGGTTTAAGGTTTTGAAAACCCCGTCCAAACTTTAAGGACACCGGGTATCAGATTTGCACTATCCACATGCACTTGCTCGAAAGCTTGACAGAGCCCCTACGCGTAGCTACTGTTGCTAAGCCACGATTAGTAAATGGTGGTTTTTGGGCGTGGCTTAGCGAAGGGTCAATTGTATCGTAAAAATGGTTCGTTACTCGAAGCTTTTTAAATCAGAACTCGATGAGGACCTCTTCTGGTTAAAATGTGGGAAAGCACTGTGTTGCAAAAATGTCAAATGTCACAACTGACCAACTCATTCAAGTAGTAATACAACAATAGTAATATAAACAAATGTTAAGGTAAACATGAGGTTTGTTACATCACAGCACCGATGACTGTGGTAAAATCCAGGGTATTCAAGCATTGTTTCAATTAGCGTATTCCAACTGTTCCTTCACCCGGCCACTCGTTCCAAGTGGGGATCAAACCGACGATTGCTGCATGGGAGGTGAATGCTCTAAAGAGGAGGCTTTTGCAATAGTATCTGGATGCAGTCTTTATGATGCAAGCTGAGATTACATCACTCAGCGATGCAATGTCAGACACAATGCACTCAAATGTAGCGAGTGACGTCACTGTGATGGCTAGGGTTAGGGGTGGGGTTAGGTGAGCCCACTAAAAAGCATTTGATGCAGCCCAGATTGCACTGCACCAGATCTGCATCCAGACCCCTCTCTGCTTTTGGGCTGCACTCGCCAGCTGGCCTCTGTTACACACTATACTACTATATGCTGTGGCCTTCTTTAAAAATAGTTGTAAATAATCTGCTAATACTCTTTAGTATGGTTCAAAAGTTTCCTAATAATATCAAGTGATTATTAGGCAAAACTGAGAGTATAATTCCTACAGTTCCATGTCAATTATCGAAACTATTTGGTCATTTTTGAGTGACATGCTAATAGTCTAATCTGATTTAATGATCTATGCTAAGCTAAGCTAAAAATGCTAATTCATTCAATTTCCTTCAGCTTAGTCTCTTTTTTATCAGGGATTGCAATAGCAGAATGAACCGCCAACTTATTCAGCATATGTTTCACACAGCAGATGCTCATCCAGCTGCAACCCAGAACTGGAAAACACACATACACACTCGTTCACACACACTCTCATACACAACGGCCAATTTAGTTTATTCAATTCACCTATACCACATGTCTTTGGACTGTGGGGGAAACCGAAGCACCCAGAGGAAATTAACGCCAACGCGGGGAGAACATGCAAACTCCACACTGAAATGCCAACTGACGGGCTCGAATCAGTGGCCTGTAATAAGGGATCATTACGCCAAAATGAGAGTATAGTTCCTACAGCTCCATATCACTATTTTTGAGCGAGATGCTAATGGTCTAATCTGATTCAATGATCTATGCTAAGCTAAGCTAAAATTGCTAATTTTCCTGCATACACATTTAAAACTTATTGGGTCAAAATTAAACCTGGGATGGAAGCAAATGTTGCTGAAGGAGCTTCACCCTGTCATGCATCTGTATAAGAGGTCAAACTCCTGCTGCAGAAAACATCATTGAATCACAAATAAATTCAGAAAAGTGGATGTTGAGCCAGTTTCTGTCCACGTGCATGAACATGTTCCAGATAGCATATGCAAGTGTATGCAAAATAGCATTCTGGTGTTAATGTGTAGACTTATAGATATAAAAATAAATAAGTTTTTAAAACTCTGATTATTTACAAAGTAATGAAGTATGTCAAAGACGAGTATAACATTGAAAGACGAGTGCTGCACAATAACTATGAAGTCAGTAGATGTTTTGCAGTCCTGAAATATGCGGTAAGAGTTGCTATTTGCCAGAATTTGAAGGTATCACAGTGTGCACGACGCAGATCTTCCTCAACACCACGGCAACCAGCCCACAGAAACAGAGGCCTCCTGCTGCTCCACCAATCCAGACATCAGACATCAGCCTCCGCCAATCGTCAGCGAGGCGACAGGAAGTTAGAGTGCAGCAACAACCAACGAGGAGCGATATAGCAGCCAGCTTAACAGAGCTTGAGCCAGTGAGCGCAAAGGAGTGGGGGATGTCCCTCATTCAGAGGACAGTTGTGGGGGGTGGGGTGGGGGTGTTGGGGGGGAGGGACCAGGCAGTGCAGAATTCATTCAGGAGGAGCGATTGACCTAGATTTAGTTCCCCTGGAGGAGAGTGGGCAAGCGTAAACACATCCACTCGTAGGGAGGGGAGAGGCAGAGGGAGCAGGGCACGTTCAGAGGCACTGAAACAGACCTCAACATCCACCAGTGCTGAATTTCACAGAATTAACACATGTAATTTCTTTTTTTTTTTTTTTGCTTCTGCCATGCGCAAAAGGATTCTCTGACTCATAGAGGTGAAAAAAGAAAACATGAAAAATGACTTTAATCTTGGTGCAACACAGTTTCACACTTTCCTCTCTTTACACACACACACACCCTGGCTTATGAGAAAATGCTCTTTTGATATAATAAATATATTCCCAGCACTGAAATTGAGCCGTTTTATCGCTTTAAATCTCAAAGAAGAGCTGGAATAGTATTGTTTGTGTGTGAAAGATTACTATCTATATTCATGTGTGTCACTTGTGAGGAATTGCCCAGATTATATTCGCCTATGTGTGTAAGTAGGTACATTTCATCTTTTATTGCATGTCATATAAATGTATAGGTATATACATGTATGGTGATTAGTGGTGGAAAGACTACTAAAAAACCATACTTATAGTTGAAGTCAGAATTATTAGCCCCCCTGAATTATCAGCGGAACTGTTTATTTTCCCCCCAATTTCTGTTTATCGGAGAGAAGAACTCATTTCTAAACATGATAGTTTTAATAACTCATCTCTAATAACTAATTTATTTAATCTTTGTCATGATGACAGTACATAATATTTGACTAGACATTTTTGAAGACACTTCTATACAGCTTAAAGTGACATTTAAAGGCTTAACTAGGTTAATTGGGTTAACTATGCAGGTTAGGGTAATTAGGCAAGTTATTGTGTAATGATGGTGTAATGATGGACTTTAAAATGTTTTTAAAAAAATTGAAAACTGCTTTTATTCTAGCCGAAATAAAACAAATAAGACTTTTTCTAGAAGGAAAAATATTATCAGATATACTGTGAAAATTTCCTTGCTCTGTTAAACATCATTTAGCAAATATTTACAAAAGAAAAAAAATTCAATGGGGGGCTAATAATTCTGATTTCAACTGTAAGTAAATACACCATTACTTGCCTAAAAATGTAGTGCAAGTAGGGTAAAAGTATCTGATGTAAATATTACGCAAAGTATGAGCCCTTTCAAAAGTACTCAAGAGTAGAGAGTAGTGAGTATTACGCTGTAAAAAGCTGATGCGTTTACATGAAATTTGTGGATGTGTGTAAACGTAACATTCTGTAGTGCATTTAGTTGTTGCCCAGCAGGCACACAACACCATAGGATGTTAATAGTAGGTAAGACTTAGGTCGTGATTTAAAGTTAAATGTCAAGCCAGCATTTATGGACAATGTTATTTTGACGTCTAATAACGTTGTCAAATTATGTTGATATTTAGTTTATTTTAGGTTGTGTTAAAATCCAAAGTCCAATGTCGAGCCAACTTCTTATACTAACGTCATATTGATGTCAGATACTGACATTTATTCGTCAGGTATGGCAACTAAAATCCAACGTCTGATAAACGTCATATTGGTAATGTCCACACAACCTCAAGCTGTAACATTATTAGATGTTGATATTTGGTTGATTTTAGGCTGGACGTCGGACATTGACGTCAGCCTGATGTTGGGTTCTGATGTCAAACCGATTTTTATTTACAAACAAAATGCAACGTCCCCACGACGTTGGTGTAGAACATCAATCTAACGTCATGTTGACGTCTAATAACGTTGTCAAATTATGTTGATATTTGGTTTATTTTAGGTTTTGTTAAAATCCAAAATCTAACGTCGAGCCAACTTCTTATACCAACGTCATATTGATGTCAAACACTGACATTTATTCGTCAGGTATGGCAACTAAAATCCAACGTCTGATAAACGTCATATTGGTAATGTCCACACAACCTCAAGCTGTAACATTATTAGATGTTGATATTTGGTTGATTTTAGGTTGGACGTTGGACAGGTTGACGTCAGCCTGATGTTGGGTTCTGATGTCAGCCCGATTTTTATTTACAAACAAAATGCAACGTCCCCACGACGTTGGTGTACAACATCAATCTCACGTCATGTTGACGTCCTGTACCTGCAGGGTGTTTAAGGCCATTTTGGTCATCATAGAGTAAACATCTGCCATCTTCTCATCAGTGACATGCATCTAAACAGTCTCTGGGTCAGTGCGTGTAAAGATTTTGGACATCTTCTTGGACACTTTTAACGCTTCCAAACAGTTTGCTGATATTATAAATCATCCATGTCTTGAGGTAGTTCATTATGATGCGATTTACCTTCTATGTGAGATTTGGTTGGACAGGAATCACAGGACTGATTTTTAATCCCCACAGACAAGAAAAAAAAAGTAGTGACTGCGAGTTAATGGAAAGTAGTGGAGTAAAAGTATGAATACTAAAAAATACACATTTTTAAAACTACTCAATAAATTACAATTTCTCTGAAAAACCACTCAATTACAGTAGTTGGAGTATTTGTAATTTGTTGTGTACCACTGACTGGTACAGTACGGTACGGTTCGGATGAGGTACGGGTCACCTTTATCAGGCTTGCGTTTCCACCACAAAGGGCAGCCTTTTGGTGGGTGTGGTGTATGACAATGTTTAAGCTGATGTCATGCGCGCTTGAATAAATGTCTACAGTAAAGCTGTACGGGTCGTTTCAGGTTGCTAAAACATTCTTGCCTGTGTTTTGCCTGGCTTCTCCTTTTTTCCGAGTTTCACTCTCGCTTCACTTTCGCGCTTGTCCTTTTTTTCTGAATGGATCAGATGACGGAGACACTTCAATAATCACACACACGTTATTATCATCAGCTCAAGAAGTTCGTTATATCAAATATAGAAGTGATTGCGAGCTCCCGGAAGAAAGCGAATACCGCTCGCACTTTTAGACGGGCTCGTAAAGCAACAGGACACGGCAGATTTTTCTTCTTGGCTTTGTGTCTGTTCATCCAGACGACGACAAGGTTTGTTTGTTCATCCATGGCTCGTTATTATATTCCATGTAGTATTTCCATGTAATGTCTCGGCTTTGTATTTTAAAAAACATGGCGGTTCCTTTGTTTACGTTTTGTGTAGCTCCACGAGCTCGTGACATATCTGTCACCAATCAACGTTCAGCTGCACATGTAGCTCCACCTTTTGGTACCCTTTCTCCCGTTTGGTACCCTTTTGAAAGGGTGCCGAAAAAGTGGTATGGTACGATTTGGTTGCGCTTTTTGACAGTGGAAACGGCCATAAAAGCATACCGAACCGTACCGTACCACTCAGTGAAAATGGGCCATTACACCACTGATGGTGATTAAGTGCTGGTGAAGCAAGGCCATCTGGCATCTGAATAATTGAACATTAATAAATTACCCTGTTGTTTGCAAATGACTCAAACTCTCTGCAGCTATGCTGTTTATTTATCTTTTCCTTCATATCTTTCCTCAGGAACACAAGGTTGCAGTGAGGACTGCAGGAAAGTTCCCCCACCGAAACCTAAGAGGAATCCCAACACACAACTGAGCACTTCCTTCGATGAATCTTACATCCGCAGTAATGGTTCAAAAGGTTCGACCACAATGCTTTTCTCAAGAGATGGCCAAACGCCTTCTCCTCAGCCACAGGACTTGGATGAACCTGTCTACATTGAGATGTCAGGGAATGTGGGCCAGGAAGCCACCCCTCGTACTGAGGAGGATGAGCCAGGCGAGGCTGTCTATGAAGAGATGAAGTATCCTGCACTTGACGAGTATGACTCGCGTTGGGATCTTGTGAACTGTCGATCACTGTGTGTCACACCTTGCCCAAGTGAATCTGAAATCTATACCCCTCTGAGCCGTTGTACCACCCCTAGAGGAGTGCCCCTCTGTGATATCCCTGCCCCTTTCCCTAACCTGCTGTCTCACAGGCCCCCTTTACTGGTTTTCCCTCCAGCCCCAGCTCAGTGTTCTCCCAACTCGGACGAGTCCCCGCTTACCCCACTTGACGTAGCAAAGCTTCCTATGTTTGAGAATGGCTCTTTTGGCAAGTCCCCAACGTCATCTTCTTTGGAACCCTCCGGCTCGGCCTCGACGTCGCACATGAGGCGTGCTGAAAGGGAGCTAACAGCAACTCCTACAATAACAGCATCTGGACGTTCGTCCGCACCACCATTGCCCTGTGCCCTCTATAAAAGTTCCTCCTCTTCATACAGTTACCAGCGCAGCCACTCGGCCTGCCCCTCACCAGTCAGTATGGGCCGCTGCCTGACGCCCCTCAGCCTCATGCGCTCACCACCTATTGATGGACCATTTTCTGCATCAGGCCTTCCTCGCAGCGCCTCCGCCACACCTCACGGAAAGGCGTCTCCACCGCAGGACGCAAGCTCAGGGGGACGCCATCATGGCTCCATGCAGAACGTCTCAGTGGCTCGCTCACGGACGCCCACCAGCCCATTGGATGAACTCACCAACCTCTTCACCACTGGCAGGAACATGCTGAAGAAGAATACCAGTGGCAGAAAGAGCAAGGAACCAGGAGAAAGTGAGTCCTGATGATTTGTTTCTTAGATTGTTCATATCCATTCACTAATTTCACCTTCAAACGATGGGGCAGATGCACACAGACTTAATTAATTTTCAGTCAGTCAGCCCAAGCGCTTCTGGTAAACTGCTGCGCCATTACAAAATCGCAACTTTAAGATTTGATTTCTTTAAAAATCAGTGATGTTCACTGTCTGATTGATATACGATATAAAATGGGTCTTAGACCAGACAAAAAGCACTTCATTCAATTCCGTTTCTTCATGGCATATCTTTAAAATACAACAATTTATTCTACTCCAGTATTTTCAATGGAGTTTCTGCACTGATGTCGCTTAAGTTTCCACTGTCTTTCATATCGTTATACAATTGAACAACTAAATAAATGCTTAAGTCTGTTTAACTGATTGTAGTTAACTACGTTACAACATCGATGCTGTAAAAGGAACGTTATGAAATTGAAAATAGTCACATAAACCTTTCACCGGAAGTTTATCATTGGCTGAAAAACACTAGCTGTGCATATAGCCCATTACCCAGGAGTAACATAGAAAGTAAATACGTATGTGCAAAAAGCTAATTAAAATAGAGCTGCAAGCAGTTCTCTCAGTTTTCGGTATTCAAGAACTCTAACCCTCTGGTGTGTACGATCACACCGGTGTGATTAGATCATTTATTGTATGATGTCATCATAAGTACTAGCAAAACAGCATTGTAAAAATGCTGTAAACATTTTGTTTGTAAAAAATGATGTCTAAGAAGGCTGCTATAATAATCATTTTACACAATATTAAATGTGCATCATTGACATCAGATACTGTAAATACTTACTGTTTACTAGAAAGTTTACTCTATTCTTTTACCAGTTAAACAGCTGCTTACTTGCATGTAATTTGGGGTTGATGAACAAACAGGCTGCAAATCCAGCAGCTCTGATCTCTCAACTAACATGGTGGCACCCATCACCTGTTATACAAGTATATGATCATTATTAAGCTTTTTAAATGACAAAAGTACATGTGCTTATCCAGATTTCACAACATAACTAGGATGTCTGTCGAACTTAAACGTTATGTGTTGCCATGGAAACTTTGAAGCAATGCGTTCTAAATAACCTTCACATTAAAAAACAGGGGGGGTCAGTGGGAATATTTAGAATTTAAGTGTGAAAGATTAAGGCTTTTATACATATGCCTAAAATATATTATTATGACCTTGTTTGGTCTTATGTTAATTATTGACCTAGAAATATCTAGACAACTGCATTTTAGTGGTTTAATCAAGATTAAATTAAACACCTAGGACAAGATTGCTTAATTACTAAGGCCGTTTGGACATAGTGCCTGTATTCCCTATCCAAACTGTTTCCTCAAACTGAGTTCATGTACATTCTGAGTTTGGTAATGAAATTTCACTCTGTTCAAGAGTTGTTTGACAGATTTGACAATATCTGTACAACAGATATTTCGGTACAAGTGGCCCTACTCGCTTCAAACGCTTTGTGAAGCTATTGTAAAATAGTAATGTTGTTTTTTGAGCACTTTTAATAATCAGACTCCAAAGAATCCATCTACACTGCTTTGGCTCCGATCAGGCAAAATAAATAAATAAAAAATAAAATAGTTTTGCTCAAATGTCAGCTCATAGACTTGGAATAAGCTTGGAAATGCTTCAGATACATCCGCACATCTGTGTTTGCGCTTGGTGAACAGCTTTGAAGAGTGTCGAACTGATGATAGAACTTGACAATTTTGAAAATATACAACATCTGCATGGAAACACAACAGCAGCATTTCCAAATTAAAACAGGCCAGACATAACTGACACAATACCTATAGGTTTTGCAGCGAAAAACACAATAGTGTAAACATCTTAATTTGTGGTCACACTAGAGTTTAATCATGCAAAATCCTGTCGTACAGCGCTGTGAAAAGGGGCGGGATAAAATGAGGTGATTAGAAATCGATAAAGATGTTTTATGGAATTGCCCCATATTTTTATTTGATGTACAGAGAGGTCAGTTTTGGATCTTCTATTGGTCTCATGCAATCACATGATGCCATTTTGCAGGTCAGAGTTCACCAATGTCAAAATTTGGAATGTAGCAATGTGCGAAACTTTTCGCACAAGCTTGCATTTTCAGTCTCTAGCTTTTGCATGCTTAGAAATGAAAGTCTATGGGGCAAAAATTGCAGCGTGACCTTGACTTTAGTTATTCCTTTTTACCTTCTGCAGTATCTCTCAACGAACGTCAATAAGGCCTTGACATCAGTTCATCCCATTAAAGCAATTACCCACTGCACTTTAATCATCTGCATTTCATCCAATGTGATCTAGTCTAAGCCTAAAATTATTTTTTAATGAAAGTGGGTCCCAGAGTGAATACATCTGAAAACGACACCCTTGCATTTTTTGTGCGTACAGCCAATCTGTATATTAGGGATGGGCAATACCACAATTTTTAAATTTGATACGATACCGATACTTTTTGTTAAAATTTTTATGATACCAAAATCGATACCACTTATTATTAAAAATATAAATATATATTTGTTTTCAAAATAATATTAATAAAAAAAATCATTACGTGTAAATAAATAATGTAGTGTGTATATAGTGATATATACACACACACACACTCATCCATATTGCATATACACACTGCACAGATACACACACACACCATTATATTTATTCTTATTCCCCTAATGGTAATGAGAGAGAAAGAGAGAGCTAATTTAATTTTTTATTTATTTATTTTTATTTATTTATTATTATTATATTATATATTATAATACTATACTACTGTTTGCTGTTTACGAAGTTTATATATATATATATATATATATATATATATATATATATATATATATATATATATATATATATATATATACATATATATTATATAAAAAATATCTGTAAATTAGCAGTTTTCCGTATTTTGTGATTCATGTTTTTTTTTTCCTGAACTACTTATGCTTTTGAATTGCACTATGGGGCCTTGATCTTTTTTCCAACGTTGTTTAAACTTGAAAAGTTCGAAAAAAATACTTTTATTAACAATTTTATTTGTTTAAAGTGATATATTGTCTGGGTTGGTGTTATATATTACGCTACGAAACCCCTGTAATAAGCTGCCAGTACATTTTTTGTTACTTTACAGACTTATTTATCTATATAGCATTACTGCTCACTTAAAAGAGGACTATAGATAATGTAGTTCACACACGCTCATGCTGGAAACAGAAGCAGAGGATCTCCCTGCAGAGACACCCTCAGAGGAGCTGAAGACCAATCATAATGCAGGTCACTGTGGGCCAATTGCAGAGAACGTGTGAAGCTCTAATGAATCTGCAAAGCCTGTGAGCCGCTCTACCTGCACAGACACGCACTGTACTTTAACAGAAAACTGATTTTAACTGGAAGCTCTATCAGCTCATATAGTAATGCTGTGTTTACTGGTGTCTTACGCAGGATTCATGTACTGAAAAAATTATTCATTGGATTTACTCATATTTTTTAAGGTAAGTAGTTGTAAACAACTTATATGGGCTGAATTTAAACAAACAAATTAAATTAATTAATGTTTAGTAATGTTTTGTTTGTTTAAATTCAAGCCATATAAATTGTTTGCAACTACTTATCTTAAAAAAAAGAGCAAATCTTTAAGATGAACATAAGTAGATGAATACACAATGCAATTTAAAAAGTACAGGAATGTGTACACAACTGAATAAACAGTATTACTAGTAGAAAAAAGTGCATCTTAATAGAAACTAAATATTTTCTAAATAATATTTTAGATTTTAATTAATAATATAAACAGGCTACAAAAAATGTGTAGTTTCCTCAATGCTGTAAAAAAATCAATATCTATCTATCTATCTATCTATCTATCTATCTATCTATCTATCTATCTATCTATCTATCTATCACATCCGTCCGTCCATCCATCCATCCATCCATCCATCCATCCATCCATCCATCCATCCATCCATCCATCCATCTATCTATCTATCTATCTATCTATCTATCTATCTATCTATCTATCTATCTATCTATCACATCCGTCCGTCCGTCCGTCCGTCCGTCCGTCCGTCCGTCCGTCCGTCCGTCTGTCTGTCTGTCTATCTATCTATCTATCTATCTATCTATCTATCTATCTATCTATCTATCACATCCGTCCGTCCGTCCGTCCGTCCGTCCGTCCGTCCGTCCGTCCGTCCGTCCGTCCGTCCGTCCGTCCGTCTATCTATCTATCTATCTATCTATCTATCTATCTATCTATCTATCTATCTATCTATCTATCTATCTATCTATCTATCTATCTATCTATCTATCTATCACATCCGTCCGTCCATCCATCCATCCATCCATCCATCCATCCATCCATCCATCCATCCATCTATCTATCTATCTATCTATCTATCTATCTATCTATCTATCTATCTATCTATCTATCTATCTATCTATCTATCTATCTATCACATCCGTCCGTCCGTCCGTCCGTCCGTCCGTCCGTCCGTCCGTCTGTCTGTCTGTCTATCTATCTATCTATCTATCTATCTATCTATCTATCTATCTATCTATCTATCTATCTATCTATCTATCTATCACATCCGTCCGTCCGTCCGTCCGTCCGTCCGTCCGTCCGTCCGTCCGTCCGTCCGTCCGTCTGTCTGTCTATCTATCTATCTATCTATCTATCTATCTATCTATCTATCTATCTATCTATCTATCTATTTATCTATCTATCTATCTATCTATCTATCACATCCATCCATCCGTCCGTCCGTCTGTCCGTCTATCTATCTATCTATCTATCTATCTATCTATCTATCTATCTATCTATCTATCTATCTATCTATCTATCTATCTATCTATCTATCTATCTATCTATCTATCTATCTATCTATCTATCTATCTATCTATCATCTATCTATCTATCTATCTATCACATCCATCCATTCGTCCGTCCGTCCGTCTGTCCGTCTGTCCGTCTATCTATCTATCTATCTATCTATCTATCTATCTATCTATCTATCTATCTATCTATCTATCTATCTATCTATCTATCTATCTATCTATCTATCTATATATCTATCTATCTATCTATCTATCTATCTATCTATCTATCTATCTATCTATCTATCTATCTATCTATCTATCTATCTATCCATCCATCCATCCATCCATCCATCCATCCATCCATCCATCCATCCATCCATCCATTTATCTATCTATCTATCTATCTCAGTATAAGTTGTGTACAAGTTGGAAGTTAGCAGTTAGCAAATATCATTTTAACTAGTAGCTTTTATTGGCAGTACAAGCATTGATTTTTATAATTATTAGTTAAAACCTTTAAAATAAATTAATAACATAAGTATAATTTACTAACTGATCCTTATCATCCTATTGGGTTGTTTGGGCATGGACACAAGTTTTATCTGGTACTCATAAAAGTGTGTATCTGTTGTTGTGGTAATGGTTGATTTCCATATTGTCTATTAGGCACATGCACCTGTGCTGCACCTGTATGTTGTCTCATGCACAGACTAGCACGGCCCCATTTACAGCTGTGCTGAGGCTATAATATCATCTGTCCTTGTTGTGGATGGAAAACATTGTTTGACCTATTTATGAACCTACTGCATTTATGAAGCACTACTGCACATTGAAACAACACTGGCAGCGCAGAAGCACTCAATGACTGTACTGTCGATCTGAATGTCGCTTTTAAAACTGACACAGCTAGAAATCTGATATATGGAAATATATGCAGATGGCATATACGACAAACAAGCTCTTACTTGGATTAGACATAGTTGAAATACATGTCACATATGCAACATATCATTAAAAAATGGTCATTTAATTCATTTTGGTATTTATAAATATGTTAAAATATTTGAGATATAATTATACATATACAGATATATTCATATATGCCCCATAAGAACACTAACAATTAGAGGTAATATATTTGAACATATATGTAGCTACATATTCCAATGGTTGAACAAAAATTACATGTAAAGGGCCATTTTTTGCAATATTTTGACATATATGGTCCAAATATGAACTTATATGTCACATGTATTTTGCATATATTACTATATATCATATATGTGGGAGTATAGTTTGGAACAAACGAAAGATGTGTTTTTTATACATAAATTAATTGAGTTTTGATGCATAAATCAAAAAGGAGATATTTTAGAGAATGTTTTATCAAAATACTGGGACATGGAGTAATTGTATAGACAAGAGACAAAATTAAGACATATTTTAGACATAAATAAATGATACTGTCTCTTGATTCTTAATTACAGATACAAAGACACATAATGTGCAGCCCTTCTGTGTATAAATCTGTTGCTGTGTAAGACATCTGTCACAACTGCTGAATACACACACCACAGTCAAAGCAGGAACAGAGGGACAAACCACTGAATCAGTGAATAAGTGTTAAAGGGACATCTAGTGACCGAGTGCCAGTACTGCAATGAAAGAAAAAACATCTAATTTGTTATGCTGGTCTAGACTGGTTTTGCTGGTCAGAGCTCATGGTCTTGCTTGTGGACCAGAATAGGTCCTATTTACATGATCCTTTTTTTTGCTGATTAAATTATAACAAGTTTATGGGAACACACATTTACGTTTGCACCAGGTGTTTCAGTCTTTCTCTTTTGTCCACTTTTCAGATGAGGGAAGGTCTGTAGGCAGGTGCTTGCATAAGCTTTTATTGATTTTCTATCTTATATTGAGAAGTAATATCACATAATTTGTATACTACACATATTTGAGCTACACTAAAGATTTTTTTTCTTTTTTAAACTAGGATCTATGTTATTGGCTAGATTCAAATGTGAAAGATTAAAACAAACAAACAAAAAAATCTTTAAAATTAATGTCTTAATTAATTTAACTTAAAACATTTTAGACTACATTCGGACCAGGATTTAGCATTGTCAACTTGTGAACAGGGCGTTATGGGTGTTTCCCAATACTGGGTTGTGGCTTGAAGGGCATCCCCTGTGTAAAACATATGCCGGAATAGTTGATGGTTCATTCCACTGTGGCGACCCCTGATAAATAAGGGACTAAGGCAGTGATTCTCAATTCCGGTCCTCGGACCCCAACGCCCACCCCCCTACTTAATATACCTGATTCAGATCATCAGAGAGATCCATGAACTGATCCTTGTGTTTTAAATAAAAGAGACATACAAAATGTGCAGGGCAGGGGGGCCCAAGGACTGGAATTGGAAGCCACTGAATTAAGCCGAAGGAAAAAGAATGAATGAATGAACTTGTGAACAGACAGATGAAAATCCTAAGTTCTAATTCTAGGGACCAGCATTGCATGTTTGTCTCAGCAAGCAAAACCTACTTTATGTTGGTGACGAGGATTTTTCAGTGGGGAGTTAACTGAAAGTCTTTTTAATGTTTCACTCTTATAGATGAATCCAAGGGAAAGAGTCACAGTTCTGAGTCCAAACGAGAGCACAAGGAGAGAAGCCATCACAGCAAGGAATCCAAGCGAGATAAAGACCGTAGCAGCAAGTCCTCTCATCGCCGGGAGGGCAAAGACAAAGAACCAAATGGCACTGAAGCCTCATCTCGGCATGACTGCAGGGACTGTGGCTTCAACACTACTGATCCGTTAGCCAGAAGAGACAGCAAGGACAGAGGTTGTAATGGACCAGAGTTGCCTCCTCGGCAAGAGAGCCAAGATCGAGGCTGTAGCACTGAGGCACTGCCTCGACGGGATAGCAAAGACAGAGGCTGTAACAGTGCAGAACCCATCATCAGAAGGGATAGCAAAGACAGGAGCTGCAGCGGTGCAGAATTGACCACTAGACGGGACAGCAAAGACAGGAGCAGCAATGGTGCAGAACCGATCATAAGACGGGACAGTAAAGACAGGAGCTGCAACGGTGCAGAACCGATCACAAGACGGGATAGTAAAGATAGGAGCTGCAATGGTGCAGAACCGATCACAAGATGGGACAGCAAAGACAGGAGCAGCAACGGCACAGATCCGATCATCAGACGGGACAGTAAAGACAGAGGCTGTATAGGACCAGAACTCTTGGCCAGACAAGATAGTAAGGAACTGCTAAGAAATGGTCTAGAGACCAGGCGGGACAGCAGAGAGAAAGCTTGCTATGGGATAGAACTTCCTCCCAGACATGAAAATAAGGACCTGGGCAGAACAGGCTTGGAGAGTCGGCGAAACAGTAAAGAAGGTTCCAAGCATAGCACAGAATCTGTTCAGGACAAGGAGAAAAGCAACCACAGTGCAGAGAGCTGGTGGGGGAGCAAGGAAAGGATCAGCAATGGCAATGATGTCAGGCGAGAATGCAAAGATAAAGGAGTACGCACAAGTGATCCAAAAGATAGAAGCAACTGTAGCACAGAATCACCCAAAGCACAGGACAAAAGGTCTGGATCTTCAGCCATGGTGGCTTCAAGTTGGTCTGCTGGAAGATCCTCCATGAGTCCAAATAATGTGCTGGGAAACTCGGGTAAGAACAGAATTTGTTTAAAAGCCCAGGCGAAAATACAATTACAGGGATTTATCATAAATGAGCTAAAACAGCAATAACAAAACTAAATCAGCTTGATCAGTTCTGGAACACCACAGATATGCATGTTTGTGATCTTTGTCATATGTCTGATTTTGTTCTGTTGAAACTTTTCTTGCAGACCTGAAGATGGTTCTAAAGGAAGGACGGCCTTCCTCGACACCAGTAGCATCATCACCAAAAGGCACACCTCAAAGACAGCCTCCTGATGTCCAGCAGGTACTGTCCTTATTGCTGAACTTTTATTTGTGTAGCTGTAAAGCACGGGGCATACCAAAACAATGGTAATCTGCTGGATGTTGTCAGGTGGTTTAGAGTCCTGGTTGGCTTTAGAGCCATTCATAGAGACAACTTGTCTTGTTTTTCAGCTGAGTCTACATCTCAAATTGGTGATGGCAGTGCAACCTCAAAGTAGTTGTACTTTTAAGCACAATCGAGTAATGGAAACACACCCCCAGTAATGGAAAGGTTTAGGCTAAAAAGAAATAGCATCTATGCTAGTTGGCCATTAACCAGGTTTCCATTGCCCCCATGAGTCCTTGTATGAAAAGTGGGAATATCTTCTGGTTTTAAGTAAACGAATGGGTACTTGACAGTACAAAGTTGCTGGGCAACTTTGGGAAATGATGCCATAAATGGGCAACCAGGTGAGACTAACTAGGGCTATGGGTTACAGATACAACATTCTTTCCCATTTTTAATAGAAAAGTAACCAAGCAACATCGCTTTGTAGAATTGCCTGGCAACATAGCCCAAAAAGTTCCCCTGTGTATTATTAGCAAAAGAGAACCAATCTTGCTAACTAGCTGCATCCAACCTTGCCTAGTATTCAATAGGTACTGCATTTGAATTTGAATGAACTACTCGGCTGTAAGAAAAGTGCATTCTATACGGTATGAATTTCAGAAGTATGACTGGAACTCGGATGTACTACATCCGTCATTTTGTCATGATCATGTGACCTACCCACGTTAGTTTTGTCGATTCATTCCCATTTATGAATTCTCTCACGGTGCATCATGGGATAGCATAGCGTCCATCTGATGCACACTTCAGAATCTCACCGGAAGTAGTAGGTCATCCACATACTTCTCACATACTGATTTTCGAATTCTATGAATTCGGACATACTCACATACGTACTTTAACGTACTGTGTGGAAGTATGAGATTTCGGACACAGCTCATGACTCAAAAGGCACACTTCATGTGGACTTTCAGTCTTGTGGCCTTAAATTGTACATGCTCACTGAGCTTACAAGTTCTTAAGGTATGTCATTTGTCATTTTTTTTTCTTCAGAGCATAAAACCTAAAACCAAGAAGTCCTTGCAAAAGACCAATCAGACAACAGTTGGGAGCAGTCAGAGAAGACAGAATTAATCTCATTACAATTTATAATACAGCAGTCGACTATAGCTTTCGAGTAGAAATGTATAAACTTCCTGCTAACATTTGAAGGCTGTCTTAAACACAGCTGATTGCCAATTGTGGTCACGTGTTCGACAGATATGACTGAATGGCTCTGAAGGTCATCTCTCGTGTACATTAGAGTGTTCGAAAGCCACGTCTGATCTGTCTGTGAGCAGATGTATGAAAGATCCACTGACGGATCAGCTGATAGATGCTGGTTTCAAATGCTCCAATGTCCGTGTGTTCACGCTTGATGAACAGAGGTGAAGAGATGGCCACATCCCTGCTTATTTCCAGTGTGATAATTGAGTTTGTCCCAAAATATGACTTCAGTGTACCCTCACACTCATTCACACAGCATGGTTTTGAATGCCGACAGGGTCAAGATATTTAGCATGCCAAATATTTCACAGGCATCTGCGGCAAGTCAGCGATTCTCTCTGATCGATGTGTGACTGTTGCTCGTGTGAATGAGCACCAATTTACCTCAGATTTCGGGCTTTTGTCTGCGATTGTTGGCGAGAAAATATCAGGGATTAATTGAGCAGTGTGAGCTCACCATAAGGTCTTCACTATACATGATGCCATCGAAGTTTCGATTCTGAGGATATCCCCATGTCCGAAGTGTGCCATTTGTAACTGGACATATGTGGGAAACAGAACTTTAACAAACCTAAAAGAGTGAATTAACAGTGCCCGCTGGCAACATCTCTTTTCTAGTAACTAAGTAAGAGAATTAGGTACAGGTTTTCCCTGTGTTGGCTTCTTGTCAACAAAATGAAAGGAGTTTACTTTCTTAAGCCGTATTCTTTTATTTATTAACCATCTTTTGAGAGTGGGTGAAAACTGTAGCAGTTGTTGAACAGTTGAACAGCACAGGTTGTAGGGGTGTCAAAATTAATTGTTTCTTCGGTGCACCGCGATGCAGACGCGGACAATTCGGTTTCGGTTTAGTAATAATCATAACCGGTTATTATGTACTGACGTCCTTTATCTCCTATGCACTCTGTTGCGAGGGAGGTGAGTGCGAATATTTACAACACAGCCAACTCAGGGCCATAGGCACCATAGGCAAATGCTACGGGCGCTGTATATCCAGGGAGGCGCCAGAAATGAGCGCGGTTCAGTTGGTTTTGTTTTCGATATTCCTGACACACATTCAGTTATAGACAGCAATAACTCAAAAACCTCTTACCCTAAAAAGATCTAAAGTGTGTTTCCTACAAAAAGACAAAGCTGGTTATGTTTCACAGCTGTCTTTCTTTTTTTTCGCTCGACATTACGAGCACTGCTCCGTTCAAGCCCTCGCAATATGTGTTTAGCCAGGAGAGCTCGCGCTGAGAGGAGCTCTCAGTAAGGGACCGTCGGAAAAGTGCTTCTTTTTGTCGTTTTTTTTTCGTTTTTCTGTTCTGCTAAGCGCGAGCTCTTCCTGTTGCGAGGGCTTAAGTGTGTGTGTTTGTTTGTTTGTTTGGTGCTGTCTATGTTTGTGTATGTGTTTGAATCAGAGACAGTGTGGTGCTGTGTGTCTGTGTGTTTATACAGACAGCATGTTATAGCCTCCCCCCTAAAACATAATACTGTATATGGAAAGCATCGTCAATGCACTGTGATGCACCAAGCGAATTAAACCGAATCGAAGGCATGATAATCGTAACCGAACCGAACCGTGAGACCTGTATAAGTTCACACCTCTAACAGGTTGTCCCCGAATGCCAGAAAGACATCTATTATAAAGCCACAGCCATATCACCCTGCAGCCTAAGACCCACTCAATGAAGCTAAGCAGGGATGAACCCGGTCAGTACCTGGATGGGAGACCTCATTGGAAAACTAGGTTGCTTTTGGAAGTGATTTTAGTGAGGCCAGCAGTGGGCGCTTAACCTGTGGTCTGTGTGCCCCAGTCTAGGGAAGAGGACACTATACTATATATCTGTGGGCGCCGTCTTTCAGATGAGATGAGGTCCTGACTCTCTGTGGTCATTAAAAATCCCATAGCACGGACCAGGGGTGGCCAAGTCGGAGCACTCACTCTGGTCCCCCGGGCTCTGCACTGGTTTAGGAAATTCCATTTTCTACCAAAACACTCCATTACTATTGGTTTAAGATTGGCAAGCACAATTCGGGACATTGCAACCTGCAGAACCTGGAAAAGAAATCCCATGGTACTTCTCGTGAAGAGTAGGGGTGAAACCATGGTGTCCTGGCCAAACTCCCTCCATTGGCCCTCAACCATCCCAATCATCCCCATCCACCGAATTGGCTCTATCATTGTCTATCCACTTCCCCTATAGCTGGTGTGTGGTGAGTGCACTGCCGCCGTTGTCCTTTGGCTGCGGTCGCATCATCCAAGTGGATGCTGCACACTGGTGGTGGTGTGGAGAGACCCCCCTCATGATTGCGAAGTGCTTTGGGTGTATGGCCATACACAATAAATGCGTTATATAAATACACATTACATTATAAAGGTTTGCAACTTTGCAAAGTAAACAATGAGCCAAAAAACACTTACCCTCCTTGCTAATTAGAACACAATAATCACCATTAGTCTACTACTATCACACAGGAAGTTTTGTAATAGTAGAATCACCTGGAAACGGTCGTCCAGTGTGTTTTAATGGAACTTTTCTCTCTGACTCAAGCAATGCAGCACCACAGTTCGTTTTCTAACTGTGCTAGCTCTTTGCCGTTGGTTTGTTTGTTGTGTCTCTACTCCAAAATTACACAGAACTGACAGCCCATCTTCTCATTGTGTCCAACAGATGCCCCCCATGCCATGGTTATGCGGCGATAGCACAATGCTGGAGATGATAGAAAAGAAACAACGCCTCTGTCGAGAGATACGCTCCCGTCAGCGACTTCCTGACTGCAGTCCATGCAAGAAAGAGAGCCTGCCTATCATGCCCAGCTGGAAGAAAACAAACGGCCTGAAGAAGTACAGCCCCCCTCCATACCCCACTCAGACCACAGTCTTCTGGGACACAGCTATTTGACTCTCGAGAGTGCTTCGGGACCACGCTTTGCCTTTTATTATCAGGCAGAGTCGAGTGTGCTTCCTCCAGAAGACGAGTGTGTGGGGTTATAATAGCAATATTTCAGAGGTTGCAGTTTATGGGTTTTCATATCATTGTTGATAGCTAATATTTTTATACTCAATGTGACTCTATGACCTAGCATCTATAGATATTTTCTAAATGAAATGAAATATCTTTGTAAAGATTATGTAGGGTTAGTCCAATGCAATTGCTGTTTTTCTACCTTTAATTTATTTCGTTTTTTTTTTAAACATCACAGCACAGTACCTTTTCATCAGTAGCTTTGACTTGCCTTTTTTGTCATATTTTACCACACTGAATGAAGTCTAATTTAACATTGGATGTTATGACGATTTGACCAGGGCTAGCTTACTCATCTGCTGCCTTTCCGCATATTATTGGATACTTTAATTGAATGTCTAATGTTAAGAACAGATGAAAGTCCTTCTTAAAGGATCTCATTGCTATTAACCACATTCTTCTTTAGTTTCTGTAGTCATTTACAGTAAGTGGTAGGTTTCAGAGAACACGACTTACTCTAAGGTCAGGTCAATGCACATAGAATAAGGGTAACAGTTTTTTTTTTTACTGTATGATACAGAACACGTCTACTTTAAGGGATGTTCTCACGTGTAAAACCGAGGGGCGAACTTCTCCTCTTTGGGTCTGTGGCAATAGCTGGCCAGTGCCAGTGGAAATCCTCCAAAGTGCACATCAAGGATGGTTACCCAGAGATTAATGACAATCGGAAATATTAAAGTTGTATTTTTTGCATCTCAGTATTAATCATGTACATGGACAGTTGTGAAATGCGAATTCTTTTTGAGCAGTGGTCTTGTATAGAATGACTGTGCCATTATTTATGATAAGTTATTGGGTTAGATCGATTAAAGAGTTCAGGCAGACGCAAATATTTGTATTAGCAACATAAACCAATGACCGATAGCCCTCAGCTATTGTAAGTATATAGTAGCCATGGCCTAATAGCCAGGTCAAGTCAAAGAAAGAGACTGTACAACACGAGAGAGCTACAACTCTACAATCCTCTACCACGTGACTGGATACCTACATTATCCCTCTACCTCAACCTCAATCAGTGGTCAATCATTTGCACAACCAATGCAATCAATCTGCATTGCCAAACAACTTAAATTCCCCCCTTCACTGTATAAACCAATTGACTCAACTTAAAATTGTGAGGCAACTTGCCGCAGAGCTTTTTGAGTTGACTCGAGTCAAGTGCAGTACAGTGGTCCCTCGCCATAACGCGGTTCACTTTCACGGTCTTGCAGTTTTGCGGATTTTGAGTGCAACTTGAGATGTTTATTTTCCAGTGCATCATGTTCTGCCTCCTGACTGGCTGTAGATCATAGTCAATCAAACTCCTCCGTGTCGTGTCTTCTGTACCAAACAGAATGCGTTCAGTAAATCTTTGATCACTAGCAGTGTGACTCTTAAGTGCTGTACTGTATACTTGCAAGTTTTTTTCCCAACAAACCCCATAATATCAATAAAACATTGTGCACCGTCAAAGGCACTGATGGTAGCATCCAAAAGGCAGAGGAAGATGCTAACCATCGCACAAAAAGTTGGTGTTCTGGACATGCATAGCCGGGAGCTAGCTCTCTGCAGTGGTTTCCCACTGAAGTAAAGCAGGGCTGTGCCTGATAAGCACCTGGATGGGAGACTACATGGGAACGCTAGGTTGCTGCCGAAAGTGGTGTTAGTGAGGCTAGCAGAAGGTGTTCAACCTAATGCCCCAGTATATTGATGGAGACTCCATATACTGCTAAGTGAGTCGTTAAAAACCCCAAGATGTCCTTTGAAAAAGAGCGGGCAATCTTTTACGCTGACATACTGGCCAAATTTGCACACTGGCCTTTGTCCATCATGGCCTCCTAACCATCCCCATATCATAATTGCCTTCATCACTCTCCACCAATCAGCTGGTGTGTGGTGTGCAGTTTGGCGCAATATGGCTGCCGTCACATCACCCTGGTGTTGCTGCAAACCCTGCTGAAAAATCCAGCTTAAACCAGCCTAGGCTGGTTGGCTGGTTTTAGCTGGTCAACTAGGCTGGTTTTAGAGGGGTTTTGGCCACTTCCAGGCTGGTTTCCAGCCATTTCCAGCCTGGTCTTAGCTGGTTATGCTGGGAGATGACCAGCTAAAACCAGCTTGACCAGCCTAGCAGGCTGGGAACCCAGCCAAAACCAGCTATGTCCAGCTTAAACCAGGCTGGTCAGGCTGGTTTTAGCTGGTCATTTTCCAGCCTGACCAGCTAAGACCAGGCTGGAAATGGCTGGAAACCAGCCTGGAAGTGGCCAAAACCCCTCTAAAACCAGCCTGGTCGACCAGCTAAAGCCAAGGCTGGTTTAATCTGGATTAGCAGTGCAGTGGGGGTGGATGAGGAGATTTCCTCCAAAAATGTGTGAAGTGAGTGTCCAGAAAAGTGATATACAAATGCAAAGAATTCTTATTATAATAATTAAAGGAAGGTAGGCGTTATGCAAATGTTTAAACAAGAGAGAAAAATGTGAAAATGTTAAAGCCAGTCTGAGAAAATAGTTTAGTAAGGAGTTTTACAGCCTTAAAACATCTATAATAATAGTAAACAATAAAGTGGACTACTTCGCAGATTTCACCTATTGCGGGCTATTTTAGAACCTAACTCTAGTGATTAACGAGGGACCACTGTATTTGAGTCAACTCAAAAAAAGCTGTGCAGCAAGTTGCCTTAAAATTTTAGGTTGAGTCAAATTTTTTTTTTTTGACAGTCATGTTTGAAACCGATGCCTGTACAAAATGTGTTACCTTTGAGACCGGTGCTCACTGTAACTGGGTCACAGCTATGTTTCTATCCACGCATTTTAATGCACATTTAGGAATATCGCATTAAAAATTGCTTCATGGAAAAACAAGATGCGCAGAAAAACACTTGAGTAGGACAACCGTTTTATCCGATAAGAAAAAATGTGAAAAAACTACAATGGAAACATGTTTGTCGTATAAATTCCAGCATGCGCATCAAAAAAAGTAATGTTATGTTGATTTAACAGATTAGATGAGGATAGGGTCTGTCTGTCAATTGCAGACTGAAAGACAGGGGTGTAACTTGTAGTAAGTTAAAGGTGTAACTTGAAGTTATGGAGACCCACATGTCAAAACTATTTTGTTGGCAAGATGGCGCTGTATAAACCCAACCATCATCGTTATTAACGTCTACACCTTCCCCAATCCTAAACCCAACCATCATCGTTATTAACATCTACACCTTCCCCAACCCTAAACCCAACCAGCAAATTTAATAATGTCTACACCTTCCACAAACCTTAACCCAACAATCATGTTTATTAATGTCTACACCTACCCCAATCCTTAACCCAATCATCACAGTTATTAACGTCCACACCTTCCCCAACACGTAACCCAACAATCACAGTTATTAACGTCTACACCTTTCCTAAACCTAAACCCAACCATCAGTTATTAACGTCTACACCTTCCCCAAACCTAGACCTAACAATCATGTTTAATAATATCTACACCTATCTCAATCCTTAACCCAACCATCATAGTTATTAACATCTACGCTTTCCCCAACCCAAAACCCAACCATCACAATTATTCAGGTACAGACGTGAGTTGTGGAGGCATTGGTACTTGACCCGCTCGCTATTGTACTGTAATTTGCAACCACAGGGGACGACGCCAAGTAGGCTAACAGTCATCACAAAACGGATGAAGAAGTCAGCGAGCTGCATGGTATGATTTGGTTGTGGATAAATTTGAAGAAAACTCATGACATTTGGTGAAAATGTTCTCTGGAAAGTATTTCCACCATCTTGCCAACAACAACTCGCATGGTTCGATAGGATCTCGATAACTACAAGTTACGCCTCTCCGACCAACTTCTAAGTACACCGCTTCATGTTATGCCTACGTCTTGCAGTCCACAGACACATACACTTGCAAAAATGGCCGCAATGGGACAGCATTAATCAAGTGTTTCCCGACCCTGTTCCTGAAGGCACAACAACAGTACATATTTTGCTCGTCTCCCTTATCTGACCCAGGTTTTGGAGTCTCTTCTAATGTTCTGCTGAGTTGATTCAGGTGTGTTTAATTAGGAAGAGGTTGAAAATGTGTACTGGTGGTGTGCCTTTAGGGACAGAGTTGGGAAACACTGCATTAATAGACAGTCCAGCAGACCAACCACATTGGAAAACATCTGAAATGTTGCTTTGGTCATACTGAAATCCCTCAGCCAAAGTCCATCATCAACGTGGTTCATATGTCGCATACCTCCAAAAGCGAGTTAATTGCATTTCGTTTTTCGTCTTCAGACCCAAAAAGAAATCTAATATAAAAGAAAAAAGGTGGCTTCTCCTACTGCAAACGTTTTCTTTTTATATTTGGCGGCAGTATGAAGCCACAAATTTGTTCTCTTTGACTAGTTTTGCACATAATACGCATCTTTACATGGAAACATAGCTTAGGTGAGAGGTCGCAAAAATCAGGTGTAAAGGTGTAATGCGTTGGTTTGCCTACAGCTGTTTTGAAACGGGGCAGAAATCAAACATTTAAACAGGTGAAATCGAGATCCAACATGAGACGTTCTGTTTTATTATTCCCTTCTAGTGGTCAGAGAGGTCGAGTAGCTGGAATTTAACAAATTACTGAGACAGCACTTGGTATATAGAGTCTCGAAAACCCCGCAGGTTCTGGGACGTTGTAGCCTGTTTGATTGTATGTGTTCCAAGCTACAGATTCAACAATAAAGGATGATTGTTTCGAACTTCACTTTCTTGGGGCCAGAGGGTGCGAGTTTGGAAATGTAACAATGTACAATCTCTTCTATGTAAAAATGTGCACTGTGACAGGTAGAAAGCCTCTATGTCCTTCGTCTTATTGCACTTATTGAGTGTTCTCTTTATCTGTACAGTAATGTTCGAACAAAAGTATGCTGATTGTCACAATTAAGAGACTTTTCAAGATGAATAAATGAATAAATATAAACCTCAAACGTCTGTGGTCTTGTTTCTTGCATTAGCTCTAAAATAATAAGTCTAAAACCTTCATTATGTTGTTTTCAATCTGTGGGCCATGATGCTATAGCCAGCTGTCATGACTAGAATTAATATATGCTAATTTATGTAAGAATGACTAGCCATAATTGGATGTATAAGTAAATAATGAGAAATAAATAATCATTTATTACTTTGCATCACTATTTGATTTAGTAGATCTATTAAGGTCCTTTGTACAAGATGTAAAAAAAAGTCTCTGATGTCCCTTGAACATTCAAAATAGCCCATAAATAATTTTTTAATAACTTTTTTATAATGCCTTTTAGTTGCTGATGTTATTTTCAGCAGATACATTGTGAAAACTCTAATGGCGGACAGTTGCTTCACACTGTCTATGCTAATGAGCTGGTAGGGATGGCAGACGTGAAACTGACATTTCGACAGTGTCGAGATCCCACAAACATGATTAAAATACCTAAAACCATGATTTCGGAGTATTTGTACAAATCGGGATTCGAACCCAAAAGATATTTGAAGCACAGTAACAGCG